TGATCTCGATTATATTGATCCAGTATGTCGTAAACTTAACTTTGCTCCATATTTTATAATATATATATATATCCATACATTTTAGGCAGCTGTTGCTTTACAAGTTATCAATTTCGTTCATCCCGGTAAATAATTTCATCATAATTTTGCAATATGACCAATTTTTCTTCCGTTCAGGTGTTACAACAGTTGAACTTGATAACTTAGCTGCACAAAAAGCTGCTTCAATGACTGTCAAACATCCTCATTATGGCATATTAGCTGGACGTATTGCTGTCAGTAATTTACACAAGGAAACAAAAGCTTTATTTAGCGGTTCGTATTTTGAATCTTGAGCTTGATTTGAAAATAAGGATTTTATTTTTGTAGAAGTGATTGCTGATATGTACAGTCACAGAAATCCTGATTTGGATACACATGCACCAATTATTTCAAAAGACGCTTACGAAGTTGTCATGGCTAATGCAGATGTAAGAAGAAAACAAATGAAAGTACTTTATTATTTACTAGCTTGTTCTCCTTTTTTAGATACTCAATGCAGCTGTCAAGCATGAACGTGACTTTGATTTTAATTATTTTGGCTTCAAGGTAAATATATCGTAATATCAGACTTGTGTCAATTTCATTCAATCAACTATAGTTCTGTCAATGAAAATTGAGACATGTATAATAGGTTTGTGCTAATGAAGGCAAGCTGACATAGACTAATGCCTATTTTAATCACTTTTCAAATAAACTAGTGAATTTTATTTCATATCGTACTTAAAGATAAAGTATTACTAGTAGATGAGAATTTTGTAATAATGCTCTTCTCAGAATGTTATAGTTTCAGTAACTCGCTTTCTTCATCGGTAGCACGATATTGCTGAACCAGCCAGCTTGCAACGATGTGCTTGATGAGAGACATTCTATATCGAAAGATAGCCATGTATCAACACGAACACTGAAAATGTTTTGATAATCACAAATCTTAACTATTAGTGAAACTGACCATTGAAGTGTTCCTTTGTTTCTAAAGGTGAAGAATCAGATTAATTTGAATCATTGAATAGGTACGGTTTACCTTCATCTATAAAACGTAGATACTTTTAAAAATAGCCATTAGTTGATTTTTGATTGATGGTTATGTTATCTTATTAGAATGAATATGTATTACCCTCTTTTTTAGACGCTCGAACGTTCATATTTACGTCGTATAAATAATATTATAGTGGAACGACCACAACATATGCTTATGCGTGTAGCTGTTGGCATTCATGGCAACGAAATTGAAGATGCTATTGAAACATACAATTTATTATCAGAAAAATGGTTTACACATGCAACACCAACACTTTTCAATGCTGGTAAATCGATTCTCTTGATTCGTTTAGTTTTTACTGTATTTAATTTTCAATAGGTACAACAAAAGCACAGATGGCATCATGTTATTTATTAACAATGTGTGCTGATAGTATTGAAGGTATTTTTGAAACATTACGTCGATGTGCAATCATCTCAAAAAATGCTGGCGGTATTGGTCTTGCTGTGAGTTGCATTCGTTCAAATGGATCATATATTGAAGGAGTAAGTTCAATCTCTGAAATCAAACTAAATTTTTATCTAAAAAAAATTATTCTCAATAGACTAATGGTCGTTCTGATGGTGTTTTACCAATGATGCGTGTATTTAATAATGTAGCTCGATATGTCAATCAAGGTGAAATAGATATTTTGATTATTTTATTTAGTAAACCGTTGCTTTGTTCTGTTTAGGTGGCAAACGCCCTGGTACGAATTCAGTTGATTATGCTTTTTACCTATAAAGTTTTTTCAATTATTTGTTTTCATTGATAGGCGCTTATGCACTTTATTTGGAACCATGGCATGCTGATATATTTGAATTTTTGGATGCTCGAAAAAATACTGGTGCCGAAGAAAAACGTGCACGTGATCTATTTCCCGCATTATGGATACCCGATTTATTTATGCGTCGTGTTGAAAGTAATGATAAATGGACATTGATGTGCCCACATCAATGTCAAGGTTTACTGAATGCTTGGGGAAAAGAATTCGACGATTTATACTTAAAATATGAACAAGAAGGTCGTGGACGTCGGACAGTCAAAGCTCAAGACTTATGGTTTGCAATTGTTAATGCGCAAATTGAAACCGGTACACCCTTTATGTTATATAAAGATCATTGTAATGCTAAAAGTAATCAACAACATCTTGGCACAATTCATTGCTCAAATTTATGTACGGAAATCGTTGAATATACATCACCAGACGAAGTTGCTGTCTGTAATTTGGCATCTATTGCATTGAATCGATTCGTACGTTCTGATCGTACATTCGATTTTGACAAACTTGTTTACGTAACAAGAGTTATTGTACGTAATTTGAATAAAATCATCGATGTAAATTTCTATCCATTGAAAGAGGTACGTTTTTTTCGTTTTTTTTAAATGATATCTTTATTATTTTAACGTTTTTATGTTACTAGGCTAAATTATCAAATCTTCGTCATCGTCCAATTGGTATTGGTGTTCAAGGTCTTGCTGATACATTTTGTTTAATGCGTTTTCCATTTGAAAGTGAAGAAGCTCAAAAGCTTAATCGTGATATATTTGAAACTATTTATTATGCTGCCTTAAAAGCCAGTTGTGAATTAGCTAAAGTTAATGGTCCTTATGAAACATATACAGGTTCGCCTGTTAGCAAAGGCGTAAGTAGATTTTTACTTCTGAATAGAAATAAATACTTGTTTGTTTCTTCTTTTTAAGATTCTTCAATTTGATATGTGGAATGTTAAACCTTCGAATCGTTGGAATTGGCCCGAACTGCGTAGTGATATAAGTCAATATGGTGTTCGAAATAGTTTATTAGTAGCACCCATGCCAACAGCTTCAACAGCTCAAATTCTTGGTAATAATGAATCAATTGAACCTTATACTAGTAATTTATATGTACGACGTGTACTTTCCGGTGAATTTCAAGTAAATAGACTTTATAAATAAAAAACACCGCAAACTTTTTATTATTCACGATGATAGGTTGTTAATGATCATCTATTGAAAGATTTGACCGAATTAGGTTTATGGAATCACGATATGAAAAATCGTTTAATGTATGAAAATGGTTCAATTCAAGTATGATTTCGTTCATGTTTGTAAACTTAGTTTTATTGTTTCTTCTATGTAGAATATCGAAGGTATTCCCGATGATATTAAAGCATTGTATAAGACTGTGTGGGAAATTTCGCAAAAATCTATTATTAACATGGCTGCTGATCGTGGTGCTTTCATTGATCAATCTCAATCATTAAATATTCATATTGCTGAACCAACAATGAATAAACTTTCGTCAATGCACTTCTATGCATGGAAAAAAGTTAGTTTGTTCCTATTTTTTCGTTACAGTTATTTTTGCATGATTTTATTTCAAGGGTCTTAAAACTGGCATGTACTATTTACGTACACGTCCAGCAGCTGATCCAATTAAATTTACTGTTGATAAATCACGTATACCAGCACCAATGAAAGCCGACGATGCTGCTGAAAAACCAACTGCTACACAAGAAGAAACACCTAAGACTGAAGAACAAAATCTTGCACGTCGTATGAAACAATGTAATATGACCGACGAGAATGGTGCTTGTCTTATGTGTTCATCATAATTGTTCTTCTAAAAAGTGATAGTACTTGGTCAGATAAATGTTTCAAGAGAAAGAATATCTATGTTTATTCTTATATGTCTATTGTTATCTCTTTATTTTCTTTCTCTTTGTCATTTTGTTTTATATTTTTCTGCATATGTTAGATTGCCCAAATCCACTTATTGTACGTTTATATTTAGAACAAAAAGTAGCTTTATGGAAAATACAAACCATAAATAAAAAGTTTAGATCTTACAAAAGAATTTCTATGAGACAATACATCAATTCAATAAATTTTTGGGATGGTGGATGTGCTTAAAATTATTTTCTTTGCCGTTAACGTATACAGTTAATGTTAATAAGTTATTTTGTGATTATCACAAGTGAGAAAATGATTTTTCAAAGCAGACTAATATATTCATGGTCTTTGTTGTTTACTTCATAGAGTAAAGAGTGATATCAAATGATGTAACATGACCTAAAGCGTTTTTGATTATTCTTCGCAATTTTATACTAGAATTAAAGTCTCTATCAACATTTACAACCAAGCAATAATATCCATTTTAAAAAATTTATTCATAAAATTCATTCTAATTTTAGCTGAAAGATAATAAAAATGACTAATTGCGATATTCTTATTAGTTTTTGAAATAATGTAGAGATTTCGCATATTTTCTAGCAGCTTTTAAACAACATTTCTCTAGTATTTCACACAGCAATAGAAAATTTCAATATTTATAAAAATTTCTCAATCACTCTTTTTCTCATCAAAATTTTATCCAAAGAGGAAGTTTTCACACATTTCTAATCATCGATTATCTTCATTGAATGTATTTAGCGATATGAATTATTTTTTGAATACATAGAGATTGTGTTTTAAATTATATCCAATACAACAGTTTATTATCACATTTATTTTCGTATAAAAAAGATGATCGAAATTGTTTTCCTACAGCTCAGCAAATATTACCATGTTCATGGTAATCATACATTGATTTATTCCAAAACACTGTCTATCATCAATAGTACTTTGATATTGTTATATTTAATAGAAAAAAAAATTTCAATTATTGTAAAATTGACTGACATCTTAAAATTTATTATTTTCTACCCGCCTTGTTATGACATCTATTGATTATATAACGATAAATATTTTGAATGTAAGAACGTGTAAGAAGGCTATACAAATTGCATTACACAAGCAAAAAATGGCTCCTTTTCTTTTTCTCTTTTTCATTGTTTGACTCATCCATTCTTTACTTCGTTATTGTGCAAGAGAATAAAGAGGATCCAATAAATTTAATTTTGGAAGGAAGCATATCGTTGTTATTTTGATTATCTGTAAAGTTTATTTCACGTTGAAAATGTCTGCTCCACCTTCAAAACCGTCACAACCAACAGCAACAACATTTAATGAACGTCTCAATGAGCAATTAATTAACTGCTTGAATGTTCAGACAAATGTTATACAAAATTTATCTCAATATTCACAACATATTTCATTACAACTTTTCGAAATTAAGGTTAGTTATTTTTTGCTTTGATCTTTTATATGAGTCAAAAATCTTCTTTTCTTTATTTAGAATATTGTTGAAATCCTTTCAAATCGAGTACTAGCTCTTCAACAACAGCAACAACAACCATATTTTGCACCGAGTCCATATGCAGCATCATATTATCCAAATTATATGCCTCAACAACCGATGCCAGTTTCTCATCCGCCAGCATCTACTCATCCTCATCCAGCTCCTCCGGTTCCATTTTCTGTCCAACCACCACCACCACAACAACAACCTGTTCCTATACGCCAACCAGCAATGACTACAGCAGCTACAAGTTCAAATTTTCCGTTCTTTCCTACAGCTCCCGCTAATCCGCCAACATCATTACCTTCAAGTACTCCATCTTTTCAGTTTTCTACACCGGCTGTAGTATCATCGTCACAAACAATTAATACAAATTCATTACCAGCGCTAGCAACAACAACATCACCGTCAAAATCGTTTTTTTCCAATCTGCCAAAATTCAGCATGACTGATACGACTACTAAACCACCATCTCTACTATCAACGATTGTACCAACAACAACAGCCACAACAAACAACACAAATGAAAAGTCTTCAAATAGCAGTAAGTTATGTCACTTGTAAACATTTGCTTTGGTCTGATAAAACAGAAAGATACATGAGATATGCTAGTATTTTGATGCAACATGATCTTGAAGGAATTGGAAAATGTTCTAGTAAAATAACAGCGTTTTCTTCCAGAGATTGGAACATAGCATGTTATGTGATAGTGACATACAATTGCAACTGATATTATCAAATCAATTGCTGTAGCTCGAAAAATATCAAATTCGAATGTATATCCATTCTTTCCTGATACTTTCCCTAAAGGATCACTTAAATTAATGAATTCGAAAATCTATTCTTTTCATCAATAACGCCATATTTCTTTTCCACATGCATTTCGTTGGTCAATTTTTCTAAGTCTACAAGTTCAATATTTACACTTTCATTTTCGTTTTCAGGTCCATTTATGTTTGGTACTAATAACATGACATCCACTTTTGGTACTGCAGTTTTAAGTACTGGTTCATCAAATACTTCAATAGTAAAGCCGGAAACTAATGTCGATGACGAAGGTGATGGTGGCGGTGAAGACGAATCATATGAACCAAATGTTTCATTCAAACCGATTATTCAATTATCTGCTGTAGAAGTTAAAACAGGCGAAGAAGATGAAAATGTACTATTTTGTGAACGTGGAAAACTTTATCGTTTCGACTCGGGTACCAATCAAATGAAAGAGCGTGGTACTGGTGAAATGAAAATTTTACAACATAAAGCAACGCATGTATGCCGTGTTTTAATGCGTCGTGAACAAGTCTTGAAAATCTGTGCTAATCATCAGATAACATCACAAATGGATTTGAAAGTACATCAAGGTTCTGCGAATGCTTTTATTTGGTCAGCAATGGACTTTGCCGATGGTGAAGCAAAACATGAAACATTATGTATTCGATTTAAAACTGATGAACAAGCTAAAAACTTTCAGAAAGTATTTAATGAAGCAAAGGAAATAAACACAAAAAAAACCGGTGATGTACCATCCGTTGGAAAAATCTCTTTAAATGATGAAACAAAATCAAAACCAAGCACAAATGATGATGGTATAACCAAATATTAATTTGTTATTTTCTTTTGTTGCATTTTTTATCTGCATGTTTAGACATTGTTTCACTTGGTGAAGTTAAGCCATCAGCCGAACAAATCGATCGAGCGAAAAAATTGCAACTACCATCGACTTTCTTTTTATATGAAAATAAAGAACCGTGCAAAGGTTGTCCCGGCTGTGAACAAGATACACCATCTATTGTACCTGATGAAAGTATGTTTTTTGTACTCCTACCAATAATCATTACGAGACATACTAATTAATTCTTTTTTCACGGAAGTTTCATGAAAGATATACATAGTTTAGCAGATCAAAAACTTCAATTCGCTGCTTTTATCTTATCACGTTTCGGATCTCTAAAAATATCTGTCACATCATTTCTTTTAGAGGTAATTTTATGAAATAAAACTATCTTGAGCGTGAATCCTTTCCAAAGTCATCATTTCAATAACTAAAAATATGCAAAAAATTCTTTGTGTACGGCGTCTTTATGATTAATGAATTTCTCTATGAAATGTTCTCACAAAAAAAATTCGAAGAGCTAAAACGTTTCATTGGTAGTGACTTGATTTTCACATACACACACATACGTCTCACCATGAGATGATTTCGTTTCAGGTGTTTTGGTTTATTTGGAAGCCTAGTTACCTTTTCATTAGTAATGTCACGTTTGTTTATTTGTTCTGGATTCTGCTGTAGAAATGTATTGCGTTGCTCGGAGTGTTTTTTTTATTACTATAACATAGAATGAAATAGGTTTTTTCTTGTAAAAGTTGAAATTCTCCGTCTTTCTGTTTTGTATGTGGAGAAATCAATAGTTAATAAGAATAATCCATGATTAAAACAATGTGTTAAAAATTAATATAACACATTTTGTGCGATCGTTGTTAAAAATGCGCTAATTTTTCTCTTTTGAAAAGATTACTGTTAGTATTTTATCTGCCGGAAATACAAACACTTGACTTTGTAAATGTAAGCACCTAGTATGGGGTCCAATAACTATAAAGCTCACAGTGAGCGAAGGCCAAGGAGACGGCGTCGCTTGATTGGCCTTCACCCTAAATATGCAACACTAATTAAACAGAAGGAGAGCAGCTAAACCTGGTCATGAACGATATGTTGTTTTTAAAAGATTAACACTTGTTCTAATCTATTTCATGTTTATTTAGATAAAACAGCAATAAAAAACCAAACCGATGCAGTTAAAAATGATGTAAAAGTAACAAGTAAAGTGATAGCTGATTGTGCGCCTAGTCAATCTCTAATTTCTGTTTTGTCTCACTTTGCTTACAGCTCCTCAATCACAATCAACAACATCTGCACCGAAAACACCATTGAGTTCAAGTGAAAATATTAAATTTTCATTCACAAATTCTGACAAAACTCAATCACAATTACAAAAACAATCATCAACGACAAAAGAAGAAAAATCATCCGTTGAGTCATCTTCACCCGCTCCTAATGCAACATCACCGTACGATAGTAAACCGTCTATATTTGGTAATTTTAATGGTAACTCTAATACATCAATATTTGGAGCTTCAACACCAACAAATAATACCAGTAGTTCCATATTTGGTGCTAGTGCAACATTCAAACCAAATACTAATAATATTGGTTTTTCTTTTCCTGGCTTTGGCAATGCACCAGCAACATCAGCAGCCGCTCCACCTACCAATGGATTTCAATTTTCTTCGCCATCGACACCATCTTCATCAACAAATGCAGTAGCACCATTTTCATTTGGAGCAGCATTAGCATCAGCATCAACGAACAAACCAGTTTTTGGTAATTCACCAAAATTTAGTTTTTCTGATGTAGCTAAACAATCGCCAACATTGAATGATAAGACATCCAGCAGTGGTGCCGACCAACGAGGTATAAAATATCAATACAAAAACTATCATGTCATTAATGTAAATGTTACTCTTTTTTTAGTCTTTGCTGGCCAAGGTTCACTTATCTTCGGTACTAATGTAGCTAATACAAGTATAAAAGCAACAAATAATAATGATGACGACGAAGGTGATGGTGGCGGTGAAGATGAATCATACGAACCAAATGTTTCATTCAAACCCATTGTTCAATTATCTGCTGTGGAAGTTAAAACAGGTGAAGAAGACGAAAATGTACTATTTTGTGAACGTGGAAAACTATATCGTTTCGACTCCGAAGCTAATCAAATGAAAGAACGTGGTATTGGTGAAATGAAAATTTTACAACATAAAACAACAAATCTATTCCGTATTTTAATGCGTCGTGAACAAGTCTTGAAATTATGTGCTAATCATCAGATAACATCACAAATGGATTTGAAACCACATCAAGGTTCAGAAAATGCTTATGTTTGGTCAGCAATGGACTTTGCCGAAGGTGAAGCAAAACATGAAACATTATGTGTAAAATTTAAATCGAGTGAAGTAGCAAAACGATTTGTTCAACAATTTAATGAAGCTAAACAAGCCAATGCTAGTACTTAACAATAAGAACTAAACAAAATGAATTAAATGAGACATTCTTTGTTGTTCTTATTCTATATATTGATCGTTATGGTACATGTGTGTCTTTTTTCTACTATTGATCATTTTTCTGTTCTGAATTCTGTATTTCCTCCTCTTTTTCTTCTTCTTGTGCTTGTGTGTGTGTATGTCTGTTATACGTCGGATAGTCTCGTTAAGTTGAAAATCATTTGAATAAAAAACAAAAAAAAAAGATGGCGACATAAACAAAGACACTAACAAAGTAGACACGTAATCTTTTTTGTGCATAGGTAATACCGCGCAAAAGAAAACAGCCGATAATAATAAAAAAATTAAATGACATCGAATTTTCAATTATGATATGTTAGTTAGATAAATAAATGATGAAACTAGTTGATTCATGCAATAATGAAAATGATTAGGAAAGATTCTCGTTTGAAAATGATTTGTGTCCCGTGTCTATGTGACATTAGTATCTTAACTATTGTCTTCATTATCAACATTCTCTCGTAGAATAGCATCATAAATCGAAGTCTTCATACAATATTCTAAAGATGGGTGTTCTATTTTGGTTGTGCACAAAAATCCGATTGGTATGTAATGCTTTTCTTTCCGTTAATATACATGAGATGGAAGTCTTATGATGGTGTTTACAATAAGACAGATTGTCGTCTTGCACATGCGCGTTTGCTTTCTTGTTCTTCTTCTTCTTCTTTTTATAGACGTCCGTATTTGTGTGTGCTGCTGTCGAACAGGCACCACCAGAATTGTACAACAATAATAAGAAAAAACAACAGCGGCAAATATTTGTGAGAAGTTATGTGTTTCTGCGCTCCGACTGCTGTCATTGAAATGATGCGACAAACAGAGAAAGAAGAAAGAGTACAGTAATAATCGAAGAAACCTTGAAATAGTCAGAACAGAAAGTATGACAAAAAAATTTGCTTGTATTTTCGGATAGGAACGATAATTATGTATTGCATACGAACATATTTCGCATGTACATTTTTTAACTAAGCGACACACCTGACTGCGCACCTCGTGATTTGACGGAAAGAAAAGAAAACGTTATTAGACTTGTATTAACAAAAAGTTGGAGATGAACAGGTGGCTACTAATTATTGAGAAAAAAGAAATCAATACGATGAATCTAGGCAAATAAAAAAAAAGAAGTATTTATTTTTTTGTGCTTTCTTTTTTTGTAGCCGATTATATCAAAGAAGAGAAGAAAAAGAAAAGAGGTATAGGGCCCAAGAAAAGCATAGATTATTACAAAAAAATATCTACTACGCAGAGTTAGATACGTGTATTATTGGTACTCATACATATGTCGTGGTCGTCGGTTACTAGTTTTTTTCTCCTTTCTCTATCTCCCAATAAAAGCCACAGCGTCATCATCACTAGTATTGTTGTCGGCTTTGCTCTCCTCAGTATTCTCCTTTCAGATATGTTTATAGAGCGTTCGCTTATTAAGTTCGTTCTCCCTTTTTTTCTTTCTTTCTCTCTCTCTCTATTTCTTGTCTTCTTTGTTTTCCGCTTGCTTGTATAGTCAAGCTTAAGCGACATCGACAGGTTGTTGTTTTGTTGTTGTTTTACTCTTTATTGTGCGAGTGATACTAATATTAATGATGAGGATGAGGATGAGGATGACGATAATGGTAAGAAATTAGTAGTCCATCTTCATCATTTAACTTAATAGGAGAAAATTTATATCGGTATTTTTACAGTGAAAAACGTTTGTTCTTGTCAATCCAATTGGCATTTATAAACCACATATACACATCAATGTTTCCTTTTTCTTTTTCTATTTCTTCTCTATTTTCTTCTACACTCTATTTTCTAGATCATCCTCCTAAAGCGGCATTTCATCACCTTCGTTATTATCGTCGCATAGAAGAGAGAAGAATCGGAGCGCGACCAACCCAAATTTTCCCTCCTGCTCAGGTTAGACTTTTTAAATATTATTTCTACTGTCGCTTTTGTTTTGCAACTAATCATAACCCTTCTTCAAGGTGTTCCTTCGTGGCCTATTTTGCATAATTTACTTTTTTTGCACGTACTTTTTCTAGGCATATGTTTATTCAGCCGGAACATTTTTCATGATAGAAAAGAGAAAAAAACAGAACCAATCCCTAACCGCAATCATAAGCATACTACCCATACCTTATACCGTATATTTTCTCTTAAATAAATGTATATGCTTCGGTTAACATAGACAATTTGTTTGGCTTCTATATAAATAGATATATTTTAGTACTTCGCTGTCCATTTTTAAATACTAAGTATCAGTAATCGTGATGCATCTCAATTGGTTGTTGATCACTTGCTTGATTGTTCTATTGTCCATCGGTTTGACAACAAGAACAGTCGATGCCAGCAAGAAATCAAAAGAAGAAAAAGAAGAAGAAGAGTCAAGCTCAACAGATACTGATACCGATACTGATACCGACACTGACAGCGACGACGACGATGATGATGATGATGATGATGACAAAAAAGGTAAGACTAAATCATTGACTTTGCTTTTTAATAGCTACAAAAAAGATTATTCCATGATTAGTACATAATATGCTGCTTAACGATTAAAACTAAAAACTAAGAAAAACTAACTTATAAATAAAGAAAGACAATTGTAAGATCGTCTAAAGCAATGTTTTCTTTTTCTGGGTTTTCTATCCCTTTTTGTTTCCATTAAAGTTATATGTGATTGAGAGAGCATCTTTTTTTGTTTTGCCTGCTGATGTTTCAGTAGTGTTCGTGCCACGCGAGAAAGCTTCGATTTTTCTCTCCTACAATGAATGTGTACGACGAATGAACTGTGGTACATCACGCAAGGAAGAATGCAATGAAGAATGTGCTGTTGGTAAGTAGAAGAAAAATTGATTGAAATATTCAATCTCATAATATTTTAGTTACATTTAATTAAAATACATTCATTTATGTACTTATTTATACAGGCAATACGGAAGAAGAAATGGAAGAATATACTGAAATCTTTGAACATATTGAAGAATATCGAGCAGATTCAAAGAAATCATCAACAAAAACTACAGCTAAGAAGCAACAAAAATCATCATCAGATAGTGATGATGATGATGATGACAATACTAGTGATAGTGATAGTAATAGTGATGACACTGATGATGATTCAACAGATACAACTACATCAGATGGTGAAAGTGATTCAAGTAGTGAAGATGAAGATGAACCACCAGCTAAAACGAAAAAATCACAATCTTCTTCGACAAAACCTGAAAAGCAGTCAACAACTAGTTCAACACATAAGCATTAAATTATCGAGGGAACATCCTGTGTGAGAATGATCCTCTTTTTCTAAATTTTTTCCCATTCCTTGCCTAATTTTGATTTTTTTTGTTAGGCTAGAATACATTTTTTTCTTCTTCATTTTTCGAGTTGCCAACTAAACAATCATAACCTGTTTGCCCCCTTAATGTGGTGTCTTTCATTTTATTATGTTGGGTTATTCGTGTATCTTTTACTCATACTAGCTTCATACGATCTCTATCTCTCTCTCTCTTTCTGAACTAACTATATTGGCCAGAAAATGTCTTATATATATACATATACTAACATACATATTTATATTTATTTATTTATTTATTATTCATTTTATCGATTTTAGCTGTCTTCATCTCACGTGATCGTGCTTCCATCTTTTTATCTTACAACGAATGTATGAGGAGGATGAATTGTGGTTCATCAAGACGCGAAGAATGCAGCGAAGAATGTGCAGGCGGTGAGGAAATTTTCGGCTAATTGTTAATTTTGTTTAGCACATACTTTCATATAATTGTAGGAAATACCGAAGAAGAAATGGAAGAATACGCTGAAGTCTTCGAAAACATAGAAGAATATCGCGACGATGCCAAGAAGGGTAATCGACCAAGACGAAAGGATGATGATTCCGATTCCGATTCGGACAGTGACACCGATACCGACACGGATACAGACACGGATACGGACACGGATACGGACACGGATACAGACACCGATACGGATGATGAAGAAGAAGAGGAAGACACAGATACTGATACCGATACGGACACGGATGATGACGATGACGAAGAAGAAACAGACTCAGACGACAACGAAGAAGAAGATGAAGAAGAAGAAGCTGCTGATGAAGAAGACGAAGAAGAAGAAAAAGACAAACACAAAAGCAAAAGCAAAAGTTCACACGGAAAAAAAAGTAGCAAATCAAAACATCATTAAACAATGAAATTGCTCTCTGAAGACTTCATCTCTTTTCTTTTGATTAACAATTATATCCCGTGAAAACTTTACACGCTCATACTTTCAGACACTCTTTGATGTTACAACACAGTTTTTTTAAAATTTTTTCATATTAGTATTTTACCGTAACACATTAACATAGGAAAAAAAGAACAATTAGAAACAGTTTTTTTCTTTCATATTTCTTTTACAATAAGAGCAATCTTATCTAACATTTAGTTAGTTTTCTTACATAGATCAATTTTTTTTTTCATATTGTTTCGTTCACATCTAATTAATTTGTTTCAGAGTGATAAGACTTCTAGCTTTTATTTTTAACTTGCGTCTTTAATTGTTATTCTATTTTTTTCCGTACTTAGAAATTATAACATTCGTTTTATTCAATATTCCCAATAAGCTGTTTTAATTTTTCTAAAAAACAGATTGTCTTTCCTTTATTTAGATAATAAAAAAAACATAAAACGGGAGAGAAAAAGTTTCAAGTTCATCCGTCTTCTTCAAATTGTTCTTCACCTGGAATATCTAAATAAATAGAATAATTTGAAGCCATGAAAAATACATTAAAAAAAGAGATTTAATTTACCATCATTAGATTGTCGAAGTTCATCATTTTCTTCGTTTCCATCGGCTCCATCTCCTGTTTCAGCATGCAATTCATTGTCAATTTGATCAGCATCTATATACACAATTTTAGCTTAATAAATCCTAGAAAAATAAAATCATTTTTACCAGCGACAACATTGCTATTTTGCATAGTATCTTTTTCTAAAAATCAGAATATGAAGTTATTTATGGGTAGTTTTAATTAAACAATAAATTAAGAGCATAAAATCATGTAATCAAATTTTCTTACTCATTTTACTTATCGATTCTCGCTATGCGATTTATGAAGACAAAAATGAAAATCGAATACTGAAATTACCTAGTGATCTATCTGTTTCTACTTGTTCATCGTCTAAATCGTACGGTTGTTCTTGTTCGGTGGCAACGACATCACGTGCAATCCACTTGTAGTGTACTTCAGGTGGTGCATCTGTATCATCTTCAGTGGCCTGAAATTTATTTTATTTTATTAATTGTCAGCAATAGAAAACTCGAACGCAAGTTTTTCTTTCAATATTTTTATATGATTAGATAGAGACTGACGAACTCTACAAGATTATAGATAAGAAAACAAAGCCAAAGTCTTTCTTTGACCGATGCAAAAGTTACATGAACTTCCTAAAGGTGCGTGAGAAATCAAATTTTATCCTATAGTGATAATATACTGTTTTTCTTTCAATGAATAAGCTTTTTTCACGTATTTCATGTGATTTAGAAGCCTATAAATTTTGATTATTAAGACTAAGTATAAAAGCTTGTAAAAAGAAAACATAAATGTTAATTTTTTCTTTTACAAGCTCTTACGCCTAGCCTGAAAATCAACTTTACAGGCTTCCAGGTCAAATAAAATACTTGAAAAGAACTTGTTCATTGAAAGGAAAACAGTACATTTTCTCTATAGAATAAAACTTGATTTCTCACGCAATTTTAAGAAGTTCACGTAACTTTTATATAGGTCAAAGGAATATTTGAGCTTTGTTGTCTTATCTATAATCTTGTAGAGTTCGTTAGTCTCTATCTAATCATATAAAAATTTTGAAAGAAAAACTATTGCTCAAGTTTTCAATTATTGACAGTTTACAATGAAAAATGACTTACTGTTGATGTTATATGATATTCACCATTTTGTTGATATCCATTTTTGAAAACGAATTTCCCTTTACCTTTTGGCTGCAATAAAAAAATAAAAATTGTTGTTAATCATTATAAATTTGATATTGTCAACATAATGAATAAAGATCTATTCTTGTAGAAAATAATCAACGAGTCAATGGATTCTTTGAAAATAAGATGTTTTTTGACTTAACGATTATTATTTGACGATTTCTATCTGATTACTTACATAATTTTCACGAAATTTGCCAACAAATTTGTAGTGATTGAATTGTAGCTCACCAGGGCCTTGTCGTTTACCAGCATTCCATGTACCAATATACTGAGCTTCTATTAAAAACAGATAGATTTGAAGACTCAAAAAAAAACTTGACAAATTTAATCGAAGTATTATATACTTGTAGCTGCATAAGTATATGTTCCTTTGCCGTGTCTTTGATGATTTTTCCATTCTCCTGCATAAGTATCATTATTGGGATATGTATATGTACCGTGACCTTCACGAACGTTCTCATTCCATTCGCCATCATACTTCGATCCATCTGGATAGTAAAATATACCTTTTCCATGTCGTTTATTCTTTACATATTCACCTTTGATTTTCAAAAACGAGAAAGAAAAGTAAACATACTACAATATGATCAAGGTTAAACAATAAACGCTTACCAACATAACGTGCGGTATTTGAAAATCGATATGTTCCAGTACCATGTCGTTTTCCGTTTTGATATTGACCTTCGTAGGTGTCTCCGTTAGGCAATGTAGCTTTTCCAAAGCCATGACGTTCATTTTTTTCATTACGATCGCCTTCATAAGACTGACAAAAAAAAATTACATAAAAAAATAGAATATCTAGTCAGTAAAGAAGATAGAAAAATAAAGTAAAATATTCATACGCCTAAATTGTTTGTATTTTCTTCTTCGCCCACTTCTTCTTCGTCGTCAGCCATGGTAGGTTAATAAAAGAGTGTGCTGAAATGAATAGAATACCTTTGATGGCAGTGATAAAATATTCTTTAGTGTCAGCCATTCGCATCATAAATTTTCCTAACAACAAAAGTCATTGCCATGCTTACGGTACATCCAACTGCATTCGTAAATTATTGTCGACACATTTACATGAGTGGAGGCACTGTCATAGAAGGAAAATAAGAAATGAACGAGTACATGCAAAAAAAAAGAATACTCAATCATAAGCTGAAAGAAAAATAATCTTTATGATTGAATAATTATTTCAAAATGTCGTCTACCGTACAAGTATTTTAATTCAATTTTACAAATAAAAACGAAATGTATATGAATTACAACTTTTTTTTTGTATAGCCTACTACGTTTTTACCTGGCGGCATCAGTAGTATTTATAATACAAATCTTCACTTAGCTCCACCATATATCTTCGTTATTATACTGTGTTGTCTCATATTTCTTCTCATCCTTTTGATTCTTTTTCGAGAGATTCTCAAGGTAAACGCAATTTTTTCAATTGATTTTGTTCTATTTTATATTTATAATTTTCAAGTCTCGTGGTATGCTTCGAGATTGTTGTAATTATAAAGGAAGCGGCGTTCAATGTTTGGGTTGCCAAGAATGTTGCGCAGCATGTGCTGAAACATGTGATTGTTGTCGTACGACATCGATTGAATCATGTCTTGATGCATGTTGTCCAAAACGGGGAGTATGTTACAACAATAGAAATTTTCGAAAACTTTGTTCTTTTTTACATATACATCTATCTATCTATCTATAGTCAATGGATTTTGCTGATGTTATTACATGTGAAGCATGCTGTAATGGACAATGTTGCACTGTAAGTTAAAATCTTTTCTGCAATTAGTTTTAGAAAAAACAAAAAATTTTATTTTAGTGTTGTGGAAATAATTGTATTTGTGCCCCAACGGATAGTAATGTTAATTGTTTGTGTTTTGCTTGCCAACAAACGTATCCAAATCAAGATATGGATGACAGATAACTACTAATTAAAACGAATATCATATAAATTTTCAAAAAAACAAATCTCGTGTACTAATATGTGTTTTTGCATTTGTTGTTTTTTTCTCTTTATCAGGCAGTATAATTGAAAATCTCGATTGTTATTTTTCTTCTCGCTTTTTTCGATACATATAGTTGATATAATGAAGTAGGAAAGTTTTGTTTTTTCGTATCCTTCTATCTTCAGATATAATCATGACGTCATTCATGGAAGATTATTTTCGAACAGCTTTAAGCAAAGAATTGGCAATGTAAGAAACAGAAAATATTCTGTTTAACTACTTCCTAATTTTGATTTTTTAGAGCACCGCCCGAACGTGATCATGAACATTTATCGTCGACTTCACGATTGTTGGAAAAACAACGTGAAGTTACAGAAGCTGAAACTTTATTGGCTAACCAAAAAGAAGTAATTTATTCAAATAAATAAAACGTTTTGTTACGATATTATTTATTTTTGTCATATTAATATATTAAAGGAATTTAAATTAAAAATGCAAAGTTTAAAATTACGTCGTGAAAAATTAAATACAAAAGAACATGAACTACGAGACAGTTTAGCAAACTTTGAAAAATACATAAATGTGTGTATTCCTAATATTCAAATTCAAACAAAAATGAGAAAATAAATGATTCTATTTTAGGAACTTGATTCAAAACGAATGCGAGCACTCAAACGAGCACAAGATGAACGTGAACTTGCAGCAATCAAAGATAAAGATATTGAAAAGTTACAATCGGAAATCGATGATTTAAAACATAAAAAAGAAGAGTTATTAGCTCGGATTGGTAAATTTGCTAGTCATAATAAATATCTTGAAAAAGTATGTTTACAGTTTTTAATATTTCTTATTTTGTAAATTCTATTTTCAGACTGTTGAAACAGCAGATGAATTTCAAGAAATTCGAGAATTAATTGATCGTTATACAACATTAAAAACAAACAAAGAAGTAAGTTTATCGTTTTCTATTCGAAAGATTGTATTCGTTTTTGTTTAGTCTTTATTAGAAATTCAAAATCAACGTGAAGACCAATTAGAGACTTTACGTCGAAAACGAGAAGCATTTATACAAGTATGTTCAATCGTATACGCCTTTGGTATTTGATTTCAAAATATTTGATTCTGTAGAAAACAAATAATGAAATTTTAATATTAAATAATCGCATTGGCGATTTACAACATGAACTTGAACGAGCTGAAATTGAAGCAAGACGTGCTGAAAATGAATGGAACTTCATTCAATCAACTGCTGCTGAAAAAACATTGCTACTTGGCAATGTTATCTTGTAAATTGGACAATTTCTTAAAATCTATTTAGCTATAATGTTTCTTTGGACAATTTTAGAGCTGTACGTAATTTACAACAGCTTGTAGTTCGTCAACAGAAGACTGAAAAAGAAGAAGAAGGTCCTGAAGTTGAAGATCCAATAAGACGAGTTCGACAACAATTAGATAGAGTAAAATTATTCATACGATTATATATCATAATTACTTTTTATATTGATTATTTAAGGTTCATATGTTTATTCATGACTTCACAGCAATTACAAATGAAATGAGACGTTTCGAACAAGCGAAAGCAAAGATCGGTTAATCATAGATTTTCCATTCATTCGATATTTGTATTTTTCTTTCCAAACTAACCCCAATAAATATTTACTGATAATTCTATTCTATAAATAATATATTTTTTGACAACATTGAATTCAAGTTGCACTAAAATTCGACTAGCAACAAGAAAATTATTTGAGTTAACGCTCTCTACCGCTAAGTAACTAGTTTAATAAATTATCTATCCAGTCTTAATTATTTACTCAAAAATTAAAGAACAAAAATTCAATTAAAAGCAGTTTTTTTCAAGCAGAATATCATGAGTTTAAATCGAGAAATATTCTTTTGAAAAGAGATCAAATTTCGAAGTACACTGGATTTTTGTAATCTATTCGGGTCAAGAGAATATCTGCGCGAGAAATTCAATACCTCAATGTATGGATCTCTTTTGCAGATTAAACCTTGATAGTATCGTTAGTGCAATTCGTTACTGCCGATCATGTGAATTCTATGACGAAATTTGATTATTTAGTTTTTTAATAAAACAGTCATTCTGTGGCTTCGATGACCTATGACGACCACAAGTACTTATAAGATTTGTCAAGCATTCCAGAAATTTCCTTATAATGAAATTTGGAAGGTATTCATCAGTTATGATAGTTACTTCACGAGACTTTATTTCGGAGAATTTTATCAATGGCTATGTCAATGTTAACAATTGGTTTATTCTTGACAATTTGTCATTTATATCTACATTACAGGCAAACAGATTTCTTCATGTGTTGAATTAGATAGGATAAAATGTTAGCATTTCGAAAAATTTGTCTCAATTGCAAAGAAAATTTATTATCTCAGTAATGTGTACTCTGAACATATTACTCTGTCATTATGAACATTGTTTCGTGTTAGCTTCCTTTTCTCTTTTGAAGTTGTAACAACGGATTTAATGCATGTAATTTTTTAAAATGATGATGTAATCTTCAGGAATAAACTAAGGCATGCATTAAAGATAGTAGAATTACATAGATAGAATGAGTAACAATCATCTATGAACGCCATCAAGTATATACTCATTGTTTGTACATCAGTATGCTTATGTAAGAGACAAGATACAAACAAAACAGCACTTTTCTCATTCATCAGAATTGAAGTAACAACAAGTATGTCAATTGACCTTTGATCCCTTCTTTCTTTCTTTCATTATACGCTCATCGTATTGCTGTGGTACAAGAAAATTACCTTGCTTCTCTGCATGAAATCCATCACACGTCCATCATTGCGTGCTATAGTGGCGTAGTAGGTAAGTGAAACCGGAAGGTTGTTATTTTATGACTTGGGATTTTGATAAAATGAGAGACGCTTATATCAGGTGATTGATATCAACATTGATAACATCACACGCGCTTGTCTGACACCTTAATTCTTTTTTTTTTCGTTCTGTCTTTCTCACACGATAACTGTCTGTGTGATTGGTGCTGAACAGCCGGCAGGGCTAGTTTTTTGCACTTGTCAATCATCATTATCATTAGGAGAAGTCGAACGCTAATATTGATCTCACGATGTTCATCTTCTATTCTTTGTAGCTACTAATGCGAATGGTAGATTCGATTTTTGTCTCGGCTTCTTTTTTTTCTTCAATGCACAAGAGGAAACGTCTATGTGGTGTCACCGGATATTCTTTTGATCATCACATGATTTATATAAATTTTCTAATATGATAATTTTGATTCAAACGTACATATTTTCTATATACATGCAGTAGAAAGTACTACTGGTTCATTGTATTGAGAATTAAAAAATGAAAATGTAATTATAGAATGATAATGACAGGTGAAAGGTGTTAAATAGGTAGGAAGGAAAAGCATTTTGACAAGTTATCAAGCATAGGGCGTCAATGAATGTGGTTAGATCATTGCGTGTGTCATCACGAATCGATTCAAACATATTGCATGTAGACAATCATGACCGGATATCTCATATACAGGATATTATATATGTAGCACTATCAATGATACTATTTGTTTTACGAGATTTTTCATTCCTATTCTTATTACTAGTCGAAAAAAGAAAAGATTCTTATGAAATGATCATCCGTAGAATATTTTATTGTATGTGTGATCTTGAAATTTCTTTTGTGAGGTTTTAGTTTAAATACTAGAAGAAAAAGAAAATATGACGCCATATGAATGTTAATCAATGCGGAAGACACCGATTAGGATAAAGCATGATTAAAATTAGACATATCAATAGTTATTTCTTTCGTTTGATGTTGTTCAAGAGGTGAACGTCTGTTCATGTCTTCTTCTTCACAATATCTAAATTGAACAGCGATTGATGATGACCCGTGAAACGACCTTTCACGGCTCATTCAACTGTAGAAGTTCAATTTTAATTGAAAAAAAGATTCAACAATAATTGAACGATAGATTAATATTAAGACGAAGAAGCCAGATATGAATGCTTGCCATCATAGTGCTTCTAATGGGAAACTATTCTTATTCTCCATCTTTTTCGTTGTTCATATTCTCTTGTTCATTATTGTTCAGTTTTTCTATTGATTGACACGTTCGCGTCGCTATTTGTATTGAGATTCTGTGTTTCGAAGTATAATTAAACATTTGACAAGACTCATGTATATATACATGAGATTTTGTCATGAAGAGTCGCGCCGCCAATTTGTTTAACCTGTCTATGTGACCTTTATCAATTCAATGCTGTCTCACATGTCGTCTATTACCACTTGAAAGAGAGAAAGAAACTCAAGAACACACCTAAAGGTGCTAATCACTATTATCGTCACTATTATTATTATTATTATTATTACAGTCTTACCCATTCATTACTTCTTTTTTTGTAGTCTATAATAATCAGTAGTAGTTCGCGTTTCTGTTGTGCCTCGAAGTGCCGCATATATATATGTACATGCACTCGTGACATTTGTAAAATACCTCTAATCAAGGTCGCTCATTCTTTGTCTTTCTTTTTTTTTATCGTTATTTCATCGTCATGTATGCAAGTATAAATGGATGTGAAACAAAGATTCCACTTGTGTGTTATATTATGATACTTGCCTATGTTTCTCTCTCTCTCTCCCTATATATATATATACACGCTTCATTCATTATGCAATCGCTTCACACACACTATGTGCGCATTACTACTATCACCACCAGTGAGTGTTGCTCTATGAAGGACATTCACTGTACTATTAATATAACCTTCTATTATGTTAAGCATACGAACGTATCCATTTCCGGAACTGACGCGTCGTTCTACTTAGTAAAGAAATTATACATGCTCTTTAATAATTTGACGTTCGCTAGGAAATTTTCAAGCGAATATATTTTTTTCTTCATCCTCTTCGTTGTCGTTTTTCTTTTTGGTTCATTATGAATGTGCGTCTATGGGAATACAAGTGAATCTGTTTATCTAATCATCCTAGTCATAGCGAGTGTGTAATCATTTAGAATAACAATTGTTGAGAAGAAGATTGTTGATGTTCCACATGCAAATGAATATGAGTCTGTCATTCGTTAACGAGTGTTCATCCCAATCTGGCACCATCACATGACATATATAAACAAAACAAAAAAAACGAACTAACTGTTATTCTCATGAATAAATTAGTATGTTGAAATAGGCACCTGATACTTTATCATATAAATAAAAATGTGGAACAGATACGGTCATATTTCGATAAAAAACTGGCACGATATTTGCTTGCTTTTAGTCTTTCTAAAAGGTAGCTATTAGCAACAATTATTTTTCTCATTGTAGTTTGCCTTAGAGTAATTATTTTTGACGAGCTGTGAAAGTATCCCATCAGTAGAACACTCTCACTCTAAGTCATCGACGCATGAATATAGAATATGACACCTGTTCATGTCAAATTAATTAATCAGACAAACAATAGAAAGAAACCTAGACAATTGCCTTGTTATCCTGACTTAAGAACGATATACAAGCATACACACATACATATATAGCTATATGTATGTATGTATACATAGTGGCATAAAACCATCACTATCCTTTAAAACGTATAGAGTTGGTGTGTAATCTTTAGAGTCAATAGTCAGATTGCACCAAGAGAGAAACAAGAGAAAGAAAGAAAGAAAGAAAGAAAAAAATCAATCTTGTTGAACCTGCCCTGTATGTATGGATGTGTATATATACGTATATTTGTGTGTGTGTGTACATGCAAAAGCTTAGACAAAGGAAGGGAGGAGGTTATGTATGCAGATGTACAAACAATACACGACTCGTGAATTGTATCTGCCTTAAGAATGAATGAATGAACGTAAAACAGGAAACGCATGATGTGTAGAGAAAAAAATGCTGGTGTATGCATGTGTCAGGTTAGATCAATGTTATATAATTAGAAAGCGAAAGAGCTTCTCTCTCTCTCTCTCTTTCTTTTCCTTGGTTTTTTCTCTTCTCTTCTCGCATTTTTTTCTTGTTCATAACTCGACAATTGAGCAAGAAGACTGTTCTTTCACATAGAGGAAAAAGAATGAAGATGAACATCATATCTTGATGTATGTTGGTAAGTAAATGGGATCGATCGACTCAGCTTAAACTTATTCTTTTTCTCATATTCATGGTGTAAATATCTTGCATAGACAAATTGTTTCAATAATGATAACTTGATACTCTCGAGCATATATGCAAATCCGTTTTGATACGAGACGGATGTCCTTCTCTTTCACATATAGACTCGTATATAAATTACGGTGTCGATCATTTCCCTTTCACATGTACATGTTGATCAATAATCTCTCTATATATTCTAGATTGACAATATGTTCAATTCGCCAATATTATCTCGTTCCAATAAGCAACAGCCATCGGTTAATATGATGACTACAAAACATATGCTTGATGAGAAATCAAAAACAATTGAACAATTAAAAACTATTATTGAGGAATTAACGTTACGACACGAACGAAAAGAACGTGAACTACTTAAACGTATTGGAATATTATTTAATGAACTACAACAGAATAAAAAGAAAATGGCTCATCTTATTTATAAAAATCAACAACAGAAAAAGGTAAAAGAAAAATAATTATTATTTTTATAATTTGATTCCAAATCATATTTATTTAATGAGATATACGAAAGAAAATAAACAAGATATTTTAAAGGGATTAATTGACTATATCCTTAGGGATTCAATTATAGTTTAAGTTTAATCTATTTTGTTTATTTAACATAAAAGGGATTTAGACAAGAAAAACATGTACAGAATCATTCTTTTTTTTTGACATTCAAAAAAAACTGAGAAGAAGTACTCCGTCTATCACATCTTTTCATATGTCTTCATGTTTCATGATTCTTTATTTAAATTAGCTTTCTTAGTTAGTTAATTCTTATGTTCTACAGACGCTCAAACGTCAATCATCATATAAAACTAGCCACATGTTTGTGTATTTGTTCACTTTGAAATAATAATCAGATCGACATTTGCTTGCCGTTTACTTGTGAGAAGACACATGGCCTATCTAAAATGTTCTCTATAACTTAATTATGAACAATTGAACCGTTCATTTCTGTTCTTATCCTAACATGATAGTGTTATGTAAATTGATCAGTCATGCACAAAAGAAAAAGAAAATCCAAAAGAACAAGAGCTGCTTTCGATCAAAAAAAAATGAAGTGATAATTTAATGACAAGACGAAACAAAAGGTTTTAACACCTGATTCGATTGTAATCTTTTTTTTAAACATATAATTGTTTTTTTTTGTCTGCTATATCAAATGTCTATGTATTTGCTTGTTTTCTTTTGTCCATGGGGTGGCGATAATAGCGAATGTTGAAGGGTGGGATCAGATCAACATTGATTCACTCTCAATTCGTATTCATTAATGATTTATAGATCTATAGAGTAAACTTTCATAGAGCTATAGTGTTTTATAGATATAATCGAACGATTAATCTCTTTTCTGTCACGGTGAAAATAATATCAATAATTGTCCTTCAATAGGACTAGACGAGTAGAGAAGTTCGACTACTTGGCCGTTGTTTTTCTCGACAAGATGCTTGTTGAAAACAAAAGCAATATTAAAATCATGGAAGCCACTACATCGTTTTTATTTCATTTTATTAGATTCTCTTTGTATGTCTGTCTGGGACGTATGGATGAAGGATCATATAAAAGACACCTTCAGGCGGCCAGACAATCACCACTGAACTAAAACAAAGACAGACGATGTCATTTTCTATTTAGGCTTCTTTGATGGATTAAAGTAGTAGAAGTGCTAGAGTATGATTACGTGAATAGAATTACTAGTGAAACTATAAAAGAGTGTCTCGAGGCATTTTCTATATTAAACGTCATCTGATTTTATAATCAGATTGAATGAACCTTTGTTATTGTTACTTTTATTTCATAGATTCATAGCGATACAAAGTCATTACAAAATTTTTCAACTCAAACAGATGAAAATAATTTGCCATTAATATGTTTGAATTGCTCAAGTCAACTATTAGATACATCTCAATGCCATGTAAAATAATAATGTTTTTTCTTTTTGTTCAAAATTCTCGAAGATCATAAAATTTTATCTTATTTTCTCATAGGATGAAAGTATCACTCAACTTCTCAGTCAATTACAATTACATTCACAAAATAAAATGCAAGAACAGGTAATTTATTAAACGCAATTGAATATATTTTGATAAATTTCTATGTATTCTTTTTTTTTTCTTTAATCTAGCAACCAAAATATTATACATTGCAACCAGAAGAAGATGTTGAATATATATCTGCAACACTTCAACCAACTTTTAATCAGTCATTATCATCACCCGCTCTATCGACAACCGATAGATCTTCAACACGATCATCTTATTCTCGTCATCATTGTTCAATCTCAACAACAAAACACAATGAAAGCAGTTCAAGTGCATATAATACAGCTGAAAGTTTGCCAAGCAGCACATATTCAGATGAGATTGAATCACTTGAACGTGTTTTAAATGCTGCTTCGACAATGTATACGACGCATGATAATCTTCAACATACCATTAAATTACAAGAAGAGTTATTTCGACAACATTTACGTTTACGCGGTATTACTATTGAAGACGATGATACTAAAGAGCGTGAATCATCATCAAGTGAACATTTATATGACAATATTGATGGTGAAACAAGTGATATAGAAAAAAAGTCTTCAGTTTCTTCTAGAAATCGTATAATATTAAATCGTCAAAAACAGTCACATCATAACATTATTCTTAGTACAGATGATGATGAACAACAACAACAGCAAACACAAGAAAAAATTAAATCATCTAAACAAGCTAAAGTTCGATTTATTGATCAATATCATCCAATTGGTAAACGTAAGCATTTGAAACCATCATCACGAACAAATCTTATTGTTAAATCAACAAATACGAAACGATATTATTCAAATACAACGTCGAAAAATCTACAATTGCCGTTATCATCAAATATGTTAACTGTAACTATTACTTAAGAATTTTTTTTGCTATAAATTGTAAAAGCCTTAGTCCTCCTTTTTTTTGGATGCCAATTGAAATATAACTATTTAAAAACTATATATATATATATATATATATGTATTGTTTTACATATTTTCTTTTCTTAGTAAAACGATAAATTAAATGAAAAAATGTTTGATCATGAACAAAAAGCCTTTCTATTATAAACGTCGATAATATAAAATCAATCAACTTTTGATTGTTATGTTAAGACACACATACTTTCTTTATTAAAAAGCCTTCGAGGAATTTTGTAAAGAACAGTCTCTTGTCCTTTTTTTTGTATTGTTCAAATGTTATTCATCAAAAGACAATAAATGAAATAGATTTGTGATTATGTGAAATAAATGTTAAGGACACTCGAATTCCTCATGACGTTCATACTATGATGCATCAAGAACTGTTAATCAATCCCAAAATGTGTAATTTATTACTTCAATAAAGTCTTATTTAGTTTTTTTCTTCTCTTATATCAAATAATCTTCGCATGCAGGATGAGAGAACAAACTTCATTTATATTAGAAGAACATTTCTTATGTATGAAGGTTTGAGTAATTATTAAGTTCATGAGAAAATTTTTCGCATGTATTTAGTCAATAATAAATTCTAGATGCTTGATAATAGCTACTAAAGGCGATGATATTTTCTTTCTTTCTTTCTTTCTTTCTATTCCTAATAAAAATTCTACTAGAAAAAGATTTTCATATATTACTTATTGAGACGTTCAATAGTAGTACTTGATAGATGGTTCGTAATGGAGTTATAAAATAATCGATTCATCATTCAAGTACTGCATTAGACATACCATTATTGAAAAAAAGAATCGATTGTTGAGAGTTAGGCTTTTCGAACATATTTCTCATGAATATTTAAATATGGACACATGCCATATAGTCAATTCATATTTCAATAGATCTTGAAACTGATCTTCATCAAGGATATCAATATTTTTTTCCTTTAGAATAAGAACAACGCAAGTTGGCATGTTTAGTTTGCTTTCATGTATTTAATTATATGAGTAGGCTTCAAATAATATCAGATGTTTTTTCAATACATTGAATAAGAAAGCGAAAAAAACGACCAAGTTCAGATTTTTTCAAAAAAATGATGTTCACTATATTTTGTTTTATTCGTCTCATTAAAAACATGTGTTATATCGATATTTTCAAAATATCGATAATGCAATTTTTACGCATGATATAAATAAATACCACAGTCGTATTACACGGATAGGCATGTATGTGGTCTAATGAACACGAGAATTAATCTGTTGTTGTTATCAACAATTGCATCGGCATGAATAGATAGACCACGAGTGAAGAAAAACAAATAGAGAAAAATTGTATATGTCTATATAGCTAGAGATGAAATTGAATTGATATGTAGTACTATCTCGTGAATCGAATCTACATATTATTTTCTTCTTTTATTGATATCAAATGCATCCCAGACACATCGAATATTCATGCGTCATACTTCTTTTATCTATGGTTTATAGTTTTCTCAAATTATATATTTATCAGTAATATATGATCGAGCTCAATAAATTTCTAAGAAAAGTAGAGCACTGTTCTCAGCTAAGGTCAAATTTATTATTATGCTTAGTCATAAAGTTCATATTGCTAATTTAGCTATAGTAAAAAAAATAATTAGCTGCTGTTGCACCTGTCTTTATAACTAGAGTGAAATTACCGTAAACAGCATCAAAAGAAAACCATAGACGAAAAGCTCGGTGTACCACACAAACAACAACATTTGATAAATAATTAACTATTAATAGAAAAAGGAAGAAAAAGATATTTACGTAAAGAAAAAATGGTTATTCATGTTGAAATGTGTAGTGATTTTGGAAAACAACCATTATGGATTATTTTCAATCAACATGATTTGTAATTTCATATCTTTAGTTGTAAAATGAATGAAAAAATGAACATGTTATTTTACATTAATCTAAGCATAGTGTAGTTGATATTTAGTCTTGTTTTCTTAATAAAACCATTTGGTTTGTTTTTGTAAAACAAAGTTTTTTTGCACTAATTTATGTTTGAATTCGATACACATCACTGCATGACGAAAGCAAAAATGTTTTTGGATTGTAAAAACCAATAACATAAATTGATCAGTTAATGTCTGTCGGATGCATGTCAATATCGAAATTGTTCGAAATTTCTATGATGTATAAAACTTATGCTTTAAAAATATTTTTTTCATTGAAATTGAATTTAAATAAATAATTCTCTTCAAAATAAAGGTATTCATTATAAATATTTGATTACTGTAGAAGTTAAAATTCTGATTGTCTTTCATGTTTACATGGCTATTTCGGAGAAAAAAAGCTTCACGGATTAATAATAACGGATTCGTAGTATATTTTATTTCTGAATAATATCTTTTCAAGAGCGTAAATTTCGTTAATAAACTTATAAAAGAGACTATCTAAGAATGCCGTTCTCTATTGAATAGCATGCAAAATTCCTTTTCTACCAAGAAATGATCCGATCATATATCTCACTTAATATAAATATGTAACGTTCATGACATTATGTAAATAGCATAGTAATGGATATCTGATCTATCGAGAGAGAGAGAGAGAACGGTACTGATATTGTGATAAGCTTGATTTGTTGCTATCTCTTTCTTGGTATTCATCATGATAGAATTAGATTTATGATATGTCAAACTTGCGATATTGAATAAATCTTGTAGCATGACCAGTCAATTCCGATGATAGCGATCATCGAGTCTCTATGGTGCCCAAACCAAAATAAATATCTGAAGGATATCTTTTATTTAATTCTTTCTTCCTTATTCAAATGGATGTTAAAGAATCTTAATCGATTAACAGATTTTTCAAATATTTCTATCCTTATCAAAATAGAGAAAAATATATGCCAAGTTCAATAGTCAGTGTAAAATTTTGTAAATTAGACATTTCCGATTCCTTTTTTTTGTTATTGAACTAAGAAGCCAACGAATGGTGTTCTATTATGTGTGATGCATCGATCCATCAAATAATTTTTCTCTTATTTATGTGAAGGAGTTTCAACGACAATGAACATAATCAGCCAGTCCTGGTTCTATCCACTTATCATCTCTACATGATCAAAATCATAAATGTTATAACCAATCTATTCGTGATGCTTGAAGCATTTTAAAATTCATCATAAAATAAAAAATATATAAAGCGACTTCTACTAATAGTCAATAGTAAATTCTGCAGAAAACAAAAAAACGAAGCCTATTGAAACGCAATTATCAGTCAGCAATTGTTAATCTATGCGGAGGTATCTATTTAGGTGTGCCGTAGAAAGTCCGAAAGGAAAATGTCGAAGGAAAAATATCGAAAGGGAAAAATGTCGAAAATTTGCACTAAGATGTTTTTATTCTTGAAATCATAATAGCATCATAGCATAAATCATAGATAAATAAGAGTTATAAAGAAAGATACACATATCCAATATTTACTAGTTGTTGTTGTTTTATTCATTTTGAAAATATATTTATCTGATACAAGGAAAGGTTTTCCTTTTTACGACTGAATAAATGAAATAACTGGAGTTGGCGGATGATTCTCACCAGATAAAAATGAGCAAGCTGTAGTCATCATGATAAAATTTTAATCGTTGTATACTATTTTACGCCTATTTTAGCTAGTTTTCATAAGATATTACTTATCAATAGTATCNTTTTTTACGACCATTTTAGCTAGTTTTCATAAGATATTACTTATCAATGGCTAACAGTGTCCAACCAATGGAATAATCAGATTAACAACAATGAACAATAAACTATTAGAACCTTCATTTAGTAGAGACGTCCCTTTTTTCTATCTTTTCTGTTTTCGACATTTTTCCTTTTCGATATTTTTCTTTCGACATTTTTCCTTTTCGATATTTTTCTTTCAACATTTTTCCTTTCGGCCTTTCTACGGCCAACCTCTATTTATATCAATAAACTAGATGGTATTCGAGTTTCACTCGACTACGAAATGCGGTGCGAAGCACACGAGTCGAATATTCAAAAGTAGCGAGAATAAGATTTAAAAAATAAATGATCCACTTTAAGATTCATTAGAATCGATTATTTTTTTTAAATTAACGTATACGAATTTTGTATAAAAATTTCGCATTCACTATTCTTAAATCGACCATTTTGAATTTCATCACTAGGAAATCTTTCTGAAAATGTAACAACCAGTTTTCTGACGATTTTTTTCATTGAACGATTAATTATTTTGATGGATCATTATCTTGAATCAGATGTAAAGCAGTAGACTATTGGTTAACAACTATTGATGACGTCATTTTAATTAGCGCGAAACTATCAAGCAATAAAACATTTCAAAATCATCATTGTCGAATGATATTTTTAGGCGAACGAAACCTAGTATTGAAAATTGGAAAAAAAGATGTAACAAGTTCGATCTCGATACTTTCATATCTAGTTTGAATGGATTTTCTAGCATTTACGCTTCTCTAGATCATCGCGTCAGTTAATAAGAACTTTTTATGCGGACTCAAGTTTGAAAGAAAGAAAAAAAAACTCGCGACGGACTACATAAATGCTGTACTTCGCATCGCATTAACTAATGAATCCAACAGACAAAAATCGAAGGAAAAAAGAAACAAAAGAGTATAATGTGTCGTCTGTCACACTTAAATTACGCATCAATTAATAAGACGTTGAAAACAAATGAAAAATATTTACGAATAGCAACCTTTTTGTTGACATGGATAAAAAGCATCTAACGCTAAAATAAATTGTATAAGAAAGGTTGTCATATTCAAATAAAATAAAATAAATGTTCATCGGACTTGATTAAAAATCAAGTTTCTTTTATGATGCTAAAATGTTTATTTAAATGCCAAATATTTACAGTTTGAATTAAGTTTCAATCTATAATAAAACAGAGTTGTTCATAAAATAATACTGATGATATTATTTATATTTATTTTGTTTGTTGTTTGAACTAATAAAAATATCCATAATTGAATAATTTCTTGTTTTTCTATTATATATTTATGGGATGTCCCCGATTCGGTCCTAATTGGAAAAATGTTCTCTCAACTGGGTCCTATCTTAATCAGGCCCTATCTCAGTTGGGTCCTCCCCCAGTTCGGTCCTATCTCAGTTCGGTCCCGTAATTATTTCTCATTTCTATTTTAATATTATTAATTAAAAACATTCATGATTATATATCAAAGAGAAGAGAATAATTTATATCATAAAGAATAACAAGACAATTAAAAAATCTAGTAACATATAGAACTTATAGACATCAATATTAATTTTAAAAAATTGTTGTTTCACTACTTCTTGACTAATTTTGTTTTAACAGCTTCAACCGATCATAATTTCAAAATGAAATTTTTAGATTTAAATAGGGTGGGTATGAACATTACGGTAGGCTTATTATATTTATATTTATAAGTCACGAATACACTGACAGGGACCGAACTGAGATAGGACCGAACTGGGGTAGGATCCAACTGAGATAGGACCTGATTGAGATAGGACCCAATTGAGAGAACATATTTTCAATTAGGACCGAATCGGGATACGACCTATATTTATTTAGCAAGCCAATAGAAATTGTTATTAAGGTGAAGTGTATTGATTGTTAAAGTACATCACGTTTTTAATATCATATTAATGCATACTCATAACTCGGCTATGCAGACAATTATCTCAATAAATAATCTCGAGCTGCAAAATTATTGCTATCGAAGTGTAAGGCAGAAGTAAAATAGATAGTTTTTAAATGGGAGAGAATATGGAATGAATAAATGAAACAATTGTTCATGTTTAATTTAGAATTTATCTTTCGAAAACTTAGATTCATCGTTATTGATTATTTCTTTCTCAAATATAATATATATATATATTTGTTTCTTGCCTAGATAAATGCCAATTAATGTTTGGGTATAGATATTTTTTACAGTTCCGTTCCTCTGATATCAATTTTTGACGGGCTGCATAATATATTGTACTGATAGGTGAATTGAAAATAATTTATATTGACAGACCTCAGCACTCAGAGGCCGTCCTTGATCGTCCTTTAGTTGTGTACTTTGACGCTAGAGGTAAACACAGCGTGTACGAACGAGGAAAAAATCTCGTTTTCTCTTGCTCTCTGAATGATAACCGGGTCTCTTCAACTGATCTATATATAAGGTATCATTTATTACATTCAAAAACGTTTTTTTTATTTTGTAAAGCAATACGAGCTGTAGCACTGATGTCGACAAGGAGACAATCGGCTCAAGAAGCCAATGTTACTATAAATATGGGACCATCAAGTAATAAGCGGGTTAATCAAGTATTATCTATTATAATATTTTCATAAATCATGTTTTCAATTGAACAATTCTTCTTTTGTAGGTATTAAAACTCCCACCACCACCACCACTAACTTATGATGATAGTATTAACGATAGTGATTTCCCCGAAAACCACCCAGAACAATCATTTAGATCAAAAGAGGAAAGTGATGTCAATTCTGGTAAACCTAGATTGCCTGAATTCTTACAAAATATGGGCCCTGGTTTATCACCATTGAAAGAACATCCACCGGTTACATTATCTTGGCATAATGTTCGAGTTCAAGCACCATCCCAGCAGGGCTTTATTAAGCAAAAAATTAATGGGTGTTTGGGTAAAGAAATACAAGGACCTAAAGAGTTGGTCAAAGGAGTGAGTGGCATTGTTAAAGCAGGCGAGATGTGTGCAATAATGGGAGCTAGGTAGGAAAAATCCCAATAGACTCTATGCTGAAACTCAACTTATGTGTTTTTTTGTTTTTTCGTTGATTTAATTAGTGGTGCTGGTAAAACAACTTTATTGAATGTAATGACTCATCGTCGGCAAGGTAAACTGGAAATTAGTGCTGATATTCGAATCAATGGTCAAAAATTGAAAAAAGATATATCTGGTGTATCAGCTTTTGTTCAACAAGAAGAATTATTTATTGGCTCATTAACTGTTCGAGAACATCTTCGATTTCATGTATCTATTCATTTGAATATGATTTATAGGGAAATGTTACTGCATACTGCTTTTTCTAGTCTATGCTTCGTCTTGGAAAAGAATTTACAAAAGATGAACGAAATAATCGTGTGGATGAAGTTCTTCATTTTGTATGAAATAGTTCATTGCAGCATTATTATCATACTGTAAAATCATATTTATTTTTAGCTCAATCTGACCAAAACTGAAAATACAACAATTGGTATTGGAGCTGTTGTTAAAGGTTTATCAGGTGGTGAAAAACGTCGTTTAACATTTGCTACCGAAGTTAGTCGATATTTGTCACAATGAAATTAAATAAAACAATCTATATGAATTGTCTTTTTTCGTAGATTCTTAGTGATCCTCCATTACTTTTTTGTGATGAACCAACATCTGGCTTGGATTCATCTATGGCATTTATTTTAGTGCAAGCAATGAGAAAATTAGCTGATCAAGGCAAAACCATTGTTTGTACAATTCATCAGCCATCGTCAGAAATCTTCTTTTTGTTTGACACGTAAAGAAATAGTTTTATTTACCTTTAAAAACCACCAATGATTGATTTATTCATAGATTGTATTTATTAGCTGAAGGACGATTGGCATATTTTGGTTCACTGGAAAAGGCTCCTGCATATTTTCGACAGTACGTATCTAGATCATGTCAGACAAAACTATTACTAACTCATATTTCATTTGATTTTTATTTATTGACAAGAATTATTCTTCTGGAAATTTTTCGTTTAACTTCACTACACACAAAACTCCTAGCTCTTTCAGTGCAATGCTAAAACTTTTAAAATTAATCTCAAAAGTTCAGGATAAAATCGAAGAAAACAATTTCATCAATAGTGAAGTTTCCAGAAAAATCACATTCCAAAAATGTTTCTTTCAAGAAAAACTTTACTCTGATAAATTCTATTGAATCCGTAGATAAAATTCTTTTTCTTTCAAATCGCTGTTGAACATTTCATTTGTATATAAAAGCAATAAAACATAAAGCGAACTTCAATGTGATATCTCATTTCAACATCACTACTCATTTTAAATTATTATAGATTCGATTTGGAAATTCCACGTAATTATAACCCAGCTGATTTTTACATTCGACAACTTGCTATTTATCCAAGGACTCGTGAAGAAAATCTTGCTCAAATCGAAGTAATCATTTTTTAATGCTGAATTGTTTTGTTTTCATAAATGGTTAAATTGGATTTTAGCTTATTTGTGATGCATATGAAAACTCTTCGCAATACGCTCGTTATCAATCGGAAATAATTCCTCTTCATTCATCAAATGTAGAAGATGAGAAGCATAGTTTTTTTCTGCGATTGTTTCAACAATGGTGTGGTGAAGATGAAAACAATAGTTCAAATGATGTTAACAAAACTGATAAAAAACAGTCTAGATATAAAACGGGTAGTATGACGCAATTTCGCTGGTTGATATGGCGTAATTTCGTTGATCTCTCTAAAAATCCATTTGAAATTCGACTTCGTCTTATACTTGCTCTAGTATGTTTCATATTAATTTACACCAAATAATTCTGTTTTATTGATAATTTAAATTACTTTTAGTTCGTTGGTACTCTTATTGGTCTTTTGTATTTTCGTCTTTCTTACAATCAAACAGCTGTACAGAATTTTAATGCATTACTTTTTTTAACACTTATTAATACATCCTTTGCAAATATTTTCGCTATTACACAAGTATTTCAAAATTTATTATGTTCTAAGAAAAGTAGAACATATTTTTTTTGTGTACTTCTAGAGCTACACTAAGGAATATCCAATATTTTACAAAGAGCATGATGATGCTGTTTATCGTGTAACTCCATATTATTTAGCAAAATTTACTACTGAAGTAAGTAGAATGATTGATTCGTTAGAAATCAATAAACTTCAAAGAGATAATTAAATAAGAACTTGTTTTCTTCTTCTTAATAGCTTCCTATGGTTGCAATAACGACCATTATTCAAATAACGATTACGTATTGGATATCAAATTTATATGGAACAGCAAAACGCTTTTTTATCTTTATTGGAATAATCGTTTTGAATAGTTTTGCGGCTGTCGGTCTTGGTTCCGTTATATCTGTTCTTGCAAATTCACCTGAACAAGCACAAGCCATACAAATACCAATTCTTCTTCCATTAATGGTTTTTGGCGGATTCTTTCTAAATAATAAGTATGTTTAAACACAATCAAACAAGTAGATTTCTTTTTCTATTGTCATTGTTGTTGTTGTTGTTATTATGTTTTAGTTCTGGTCAAGAATGGTTAAATTGGATTAAATATATTAGTTGGTTTTATTATGGTAACGAAGCATTGATCATAAATCAGTGGGCAGATGTTGATTATTTGCCATGTAACATGCAATCACCTAATCTTCCATGTTATCATAATGGTGATGAAGTTTTACAATTAGTCTATTTTAATAAGGTAGAAAGCATTAGTGTCATTTTTTAATTAAAAGAATGTTGAAACGTTTTTTGCTTTAGTCTCACTTTGGTCGTGATATTGGTCTCCTTGTTGTTATATGGTTGGTTTTACGAGTTTTGAGCTACATCATCTTACTTTATAAAGCTAAATTTCATAAATAGTATCGTTGCTTTCTCTTGTATTTGTGTATGCTGAATTTTAAAATGGCGCTTTATTTATCTATAAATTTATTGTTTCTTTTTTTTTAACTGGTGTTAATTTTTACTTTTATTTCGCTCCATCTGACATGCTTAATGTATGTCTGGTTGGCGATCAAAAATTTCGAATAAAAAATCCAATAATAAACAAAGTCGCCAAACGAATATAAAAAGTAATCAACTAGAATCTGGACCAAGGCATTCTCTAAGTGCAACGCTATTAAGTGACAATAGGAATACGACTATTGAAAACAATGAAACTTGTCAAATATTAAATAGTGAAAAACAAACACCGAAAGCGAGAGATAAAAATAATTCCATAGTACAACAATCATCAAATATTTTTCATTTCAATTCGTTATTGACATCATCAAGAGAACCAAACGAACGACAGATGCGTAATATCGATCGATTTGAATCAACAATTCAATGGGGAAAAGCACTTGATCGAGAATTTCAATCACTTGATATCGATGCAGATGGTTATGTTTCCATAGCCGATTTACAATCTGTGTTGAAGTGAGTAATAGTTTTCTCGATGAAAAAATTAAAGTATCATGGCCACATAAAAATATCTCTTGTGTCATTTATCGCTCTAAATTTTTATTCGCTATAACATAGAAGAGCTTAATCGCTTTAGAATTTTTCAAATATAATTATCAGCAATAGTATAATATAATATTTAAGGGATTAAAAACAAGCATTGATCAATATATTCTTTAATAGCTAAAATGAAAAATCTTACGTGTATCATTATGCATCAAAATAAAATTCTTCTCATCATATTCGAACTGTCGAGATCGATAAAAAATTCGCATTTTGATTGAATGCACAAGTGACATTTGAAAAAGTGACAGTATGATTTTGTGGTAGATACCCATGCTTTCATAACATCGTTAACCTTGACACACAACACATAACTTAAAGACGGTATTGTTTAACGTTGAGTGCTATTTTTTTAAATGATAATCTTCGTTACTCGAATACGGTCTAAAATGTCCTTGAAAAAATATGCCTCGTTAAAATGTCCCTTATTCTTTAATTTTAGTTGTTGAACTGTGTTAGTGAAATATAGATGACGCCTTAAAGAAAGAAATATATCGGCGCATATTTTAATTGTCTATTGCAGAGGATACGACTACTGTATAAATACTTCAATAAAAACAAGAGAATATATCGTTTCAGTATCATTCTTTGTTTTGCGTAATATTTTTCCGTAATCGCAATAAGACATTTTTAATGGGATCTAATAAGTTGACAACTATTGATGAAACTCAATGTTCATCGCCATCTCAATCACCTGAAAATTTATTTTTACAACCGAAGTCCAACTAAACCAACAATCACAAAAATATACTCGAATAAAGGAAAATTTATGTTAATTATTAATGGTTATAATTTTTCAATTTTAAAATTTTAATCGAAAGAAAACTAAAATTTTGACGATATACAAACCGAAGTTGTAACGTAATTTTGCATACAAATTCTGATGATGCATTGATAAGATTTTCTGGAACAGTTTAACTGTTCATAACCTAATTTTTCAAATTAATAGCGGAATGAAACCTCGTGCAAAGCAACCCAAGTCAAAAATTGCAGAACAACGTATGAAAGAATTATATCAACGATTCGACAAGAAACAAATTGACCCACAAGAATTATTAAAAGAAATTAATTTTTTGTCGCCAATGGAAAATAAATTAGAATTTTATTCGTTTTTATTGATTATATGACATGATTGATTTTATGAATACGAGTAGTTCATGTTTTACAAAAGCACATGTTGAAAATGAAAGACATTTTTTCGGAGGACAATATTTCTAAGGACCATTTCTCAGGGAGATTTTTTCCGAAGGACATTTATTCGAGGACGAAATAGCGGGGACATTTTAGACTGTTACCTGCAGTTTTACATTTTACACCAGAAGACTTTATCAGTGATAGAAATCAATGTTAGATTTGTGTTATGGTAAAAGAACAAATATGTATTGCTCATGATTTTGCACGGTATACGATACTGATATTTTGTTATTTACAAAGCGCGTGATATACCTGCAAAACAAGTTTTGAAAACTACACATGTATTTTTGTGTTTGTCGTCAAGGTTGAATGGAATGTATCGATTAACATAGGAGAAAATACATTTACAAAATAAGAAAAAAACTAAGCAATCATATACTGCTAAAAAAGCTGTCATCTTCAAAACTCGACGAGTATTTTCTGATTTTTATCGATTGTTTTGATTACCTTTTAGTTGGAAAAATAGTTTTTTTCTGCTGAAAATTTCTGATTTAGATTGAATTCTGATAAAAAAAGGAAATAATTTTCAAAAAGTTAAGTCGCATCCATCTTACATGTAAAAGTAAAGATTCCTAAACGATTCAAATTTCGGGCTCTATTCGTCAGAGGCAATTCATATTTCAAGGACGTTTGAAATGACATGAAGATAGTTTTATTTTTACCTGAATATATGTAATTATCTCGCGTACAATAAAGTAAACTGTGATTGTAAGTAACCCCGAAAAAGAATCTATCAATCGATTATTTGTTTCTTTATTAAGAAATTTTTCTCACCTGTGCGATTCGAATGAAATATTATTACGTATATTTAAAGAACTTGATATTAATGATGATAAACGAATATCAAAAGAAGAATTTCAATTGTATAAAAAAATCTTATTAGAACGAGAAAAACGTTTTCATCGAACATCATTTGAAAAAAAATTAACTTCAATATTTGCTTTATTTGATCGAAATCAAGATAATTACATAACTCGACAAGAAATTCGTGAGACTATGCAAAATTTAGGTGAAAGTATTGACGATGAACTCCTCGAAGAAATGATGAAAACAGCTGATACAAATCATGATGATCGAATAAGTCGAGATGAATTTGAAAAACTTTTGATCGAATTACAGTCAAAAAAATAAAATCAATTTTTCTTTTTCTTTTGTTTTGCATTTTATTTGACAAATGAGGAAAAACAAACAAACAACTTCCAAGTGTGTTATTTTTTGTACTTTATACAACATGAATATCTAAACATATATATATATATATATATATATTGTATATTAAAAAACTTTTCGGTCAATAATATTTGTTCGTTTTCTTAGAATATCGTCAATAGTTTCATCTTTTTGATAAAATTCTTTACGTAATTCATTTAATTGTGCTTCAATGATTTCTTTATTGTTATTATTATTATTATTGGTTGATTTATATTCTTTTGTTGTTGCTTGTGGCAATAATTGACTTGGCATAAATGATGATGAATTATTTGGATTTGATGTATCCATATCCATACCACGTAAACGTTCTGTGTGAAGTTCGCGTTCTTTTTTATTCAATTCTTCTTGTGCAATTTGCACCTAGAAGAAAATATAATAGATTATGTAGAAAAATCAATGCCATGAATGATCTTACTTTGACACGATTAAATAATTCTTCAAGTAATCGCATGGATTCTAATTTTCGATGAGCAATTAACATTTTTCGTTCTTCTAATGCTATTTTAATTGCTAGAGTTTTTTCTTCATGTTGACGTTTACGTTCTAAGCGTTTTAATCGACGTTTTTCTTCTCTAGAATAAACACATTTTATTTATTTATTTTTAAATAATTAGACAAGAGAGTTCACTCAGATTAATCTCAAACAAGCTTCATTCATTTCCCAAGGGTATTTGATGGTTTACTAGCGTTCTGTTTGTCGTTTGGTATTCAATTATTTTCTTAAATTTTATTTGAGTAGTATACTAATAATTTATTTTTATATTCAATGAATATATTTTACAAAATCATCTCTACAAAACACTAAGATAGACTTCTACTGATTATAATTCGATACATTCATACTTCTCAACTTAATCGTATGAAAATATTAACATGAAAAATGTATGTGACTAAAAATCTTAGGTTACACTATGCAAGATATTTCCAAATGAATTTTACTCTTCTATTTCGATCTAGCACGACTTTAGAAAGCTGTAAAGCATTGTACATGTAATTCTACGGAAATATATTTGAATTTTTCAAAAAAATGAATTATTTACCTTTGTCGACGTCGACTATCTTTCGTTATATCCTTACTTCCTGTTAGATCATCAGCTTCAGCATCTTGTAATTCAATTCTTAAACTATAATTTAAAAACAAAATAGATATTCCAAAGATAATAAAAATGTTTTCTACATACCGTTCAATTTCTTTTCGACGTTCATCTTCATCTTTAATTCGTTGAGCTTCAGCTTGTTTTAATTTGTTTATTTCCATTGATTTCATTTGTTCAATACGACGTTTTTTAATCATTCGATCAGATAAATGTCTTGTTCGATCAAAATCAACCTAAAAATGAACATATGAATATATATATGTAGATTTTATCGCAAAATAGTTTACTTTTATATTTGCTGTATAAGCAGCATTTGTATCATCGATTAACATTAATTTCATATTTCGACATGCATCCATAGCTTTAACAAATCCAATATATTCACTGTATTGTATATACGCATCGAATGTCGTATCTTGTACCGGTGAAGCAGCAGCACCTAATGTAACTTGTGATATTCGAAATGGATCAAGACTTGGAATATCACAACAACGTATTTCACCAAATGTTGAAAATACTTGTTGGAGTACTTCAAGTGACGGTTTATTTTCTTTATCATCGACGTTAGGAGTAGGAGCTGACAATGACAGACCACTGGGACCAATAGCTGCTGCAGCAACTTGAACAGCTTGCATTGGATTTTGTTTTGCCTAGCAAAATTAAATATTTATTGTAGAGTTAAATGTATGATCTATACGAAATTATTAAGAGCTGAAAAACTAGAATGTCAAAAGAAGCTAATGTTTAAACAATTTCATTAGCAGCGGTCCCAGCGGTCTAGTATGCAAAATCATAAATCAGGACAGGAATTCCAAAGAAAAAAATCAGGATTTTTACTCATAAATCAGAATTAGTAAATATTCATCATGAATATTGAACTTCTACGCATCTTTCCATCAAGGAAAACGCATCTAACTAAAGACTTTTGTTTTCAGTTCTTTTGTCTATCTTTGTTGTTCATTTCTCATACTAAATTATGCAGTAATAGGGAGAATAAAAATGATCTCTTATTTTTCAAGATTTCGTGCTAAGAAACGCTATTAAAAAGCTTTTCTTATGAAAGCTGATTTTTCTGTGCTGCCATCGTTCTCTGTTCTGTAAAACGGTTATTCACTCCTGGAATGTTAAATAATCAATGCATTTCTAGTTGTGTCATTAAGTTACCTATTTCAAGTATGTTCACTTGTTTCATTATTCATACACACAGTAGCCTTTTCTGACGCTGTGTGATCGATGCTTTGATCATTGTCCGAGTGGCTCATCTGATATTTTGACTATGATTCATTTCGTTACAAAGACTTGACAACTAGCATAGACATGCAAAAAAGGATGCGACATTCAATAAACAATGACGCCGGCAAGTAGAGCTTGTCGGGTTGGTCCCGGACCAAGTTGGGTCCAGGTCCAACCTTTCCGATTTGAATATTTTTTTCACACTGTCAAAGTACGAACTCGCCGAGTCAGGGTTCAAAAAGGTTCCATCAACCTGATTCAGGTTCGGTTCAGGTTCAATAAGACACGTCGTTCTTTCTGCATTTGATAATTACTATTTTCACATAATCAATGCCAAACGATACTCATTTCTCGCCAAAGTGGCTATAAAAGTTGATTCAAAATGGAGAACCATGTTCCCGTTGGCCGTATTACGAACAATACAAATGCACTTTCATTTGTATTGTTCGTAATACTAACGAACTCAACTGTCGTAATGCGGATTGGGGTGACCCGAGGAAACACTTCGAGCGTCTCACAAATAAATTGAATTTTAAAGTTATGCATAATAAATAAATGAAATTTGTGAAATTCTTTTTCATTTATCAGTTAAAAAAACCCACGATTGGCTTGAAAGGATGATAGGTGGCCTATTGCGGAGAAAGAAGTCGCGTGTTGATTATTTTCAGTAATTCATTACAGTCATCGGATGCTAGTTTAAAAAATCAGGAAAATCTGAACTTATCAGGATGTTCTCAACAAAATCAGGAAAGTAGTGCTGCTGCGACCCTGCATTAAGGATAAATTCTTATTTAAAATTTTCGAGAAATGTTTCATTTTTCGACAAAGTTATGACTCTTTAAAATGCTGTTATTACCTGAAACCATCGTATTGGTAAACCTTCAATATGAACTGTATCTGCACGTTCACCTGGTTTTGTTTCATTCATACTTTTACTTTCACGAAAAAATGTTTCCCATTCAGTTCTTGTTGGATACGGTAATTTAGCATCAGCTGCACGCAAACGAAATTCATGTCCGGTTGATTCTATTCGAATCAATGTATTATCCAAGCGTGTTAAACAACTACGCGCTGCTACTTTTGATTCTAATTCACCTTCAAAGCGATATAGTTCACCAGCAGTCTTTAATAAACGTAAAAATACAAATTCATCAGGTAAAATTAATTCTCGAATTTTATCCATGATTTCCCATGTTGACATTGTTGCACCAGCCACACGCATTGTTGGTGGAATAGGTACACTGATATTAATGCGTGCGATTGGTTTTAAATACATATGCTAAAAACAAAAACGCACGTGAAAAAATATTGATTATTATCTCGAAAGAAAGATTTTCTTACCAGCGATTCACATAGATCGACTCGTTCACTGAAATCTTTACATTGTGCTATGTTCGACATGATTTAAAATAATCTGAAATAAAAAAGACAAGTAATACGAAAAAAAACTGCTTACAATAGACTATTTATTCGATTTTATTGAGCGTGTAAAAAGATTAAAATTTATTCCCGTAACAATAGATGGAATTTTTTCAATTCGAAAATCAATCGATTGTTCAAAACCATGTTTTAAGCCAAATAATAATTGCTCAGCAGTACGATGTAATATAGGATTTTCAACTTTAAATGCATCATCAAGTTTTATCCATTTACAATCAAGAACTTCATTTGCATCAAAGTTTATTGCATCGGTTAAAGATGATAAACGGCAAATAAAATATATATCAGACCGACCATGACCGCCTGAAACAATCATATATTCTGTCTTGTTATTCTGTTGATTATAATCGAAAAAATCTAACCCGGATATCGATGTGCCTGACGAAATCCAATAATTGATTCAAATTCTAATTAAAAAATATTTTTATTTGTATTTTAGTTTCGAATCTGTCATGACACATACTCGAAAGAATGCCTGTTTCTTCAAATACCTCACGTATGGCACCATCAGCTAAAATGGAAATATGATTTTAATATTTAGAACAAAATGAAATGATTAATCTTACCGATATTTTCCGAAAGTTCAGCAGAGCCTAGAAGACTGTACACATTTCTCATACTTGTCACCTAGTAGTTATTTAACATCAAAGAATTAAAAATGCTTACCTCCAGGTAACTGAAGAGAAAGAAGAAAATACGTATGAAATATTTATTCTCTCTCTTTCTCTTGCGAATTTACATTACCTTCCAAATTTCACGATTTCTTACACGTTCTTTAATAACAAGTAGTTCGTTCGTTTTACTGTGAAGAACAGCACCACCGACTCCAACTAGACATGAAAAACAAACTAATCTAAGCTATGAATCAACTTCATTAAACAGGTACCTTGATGACTAGAATATTTGAAAGAAAAAATAAGTATTCATATTGGAAAATCTATTATTTTATAAATATATGTACGTCGCAAATCTTGGTATCATAGATTTTGTGGGTAACAACCACTGATTTAATACAGCTGTTCTTTCTTCAGCATTGTGATAGCTAAATCCTGAAAGAATTAACATTAAATTTGGCAAATCTCTATCAGGATTTATTTACCTAATTCAGCAGCAATTGGTATCACATGTGCTTTCTCAATTGGAATCCAAAGCCAAACAGATGAGAGTTTATCTTTTCGCCACTGTTCAAGTGAGACTGAAATGTAAATATTTCATTAACTACGTCAACCGAGTCAATCACGAACTAGAAAGTGAATCTCTTATGATTTTCGCATCATCGGGCCAATCTTGAATTCGAACACGAGCGCCTTTAAATCGATCGATATCATATGGTAAAATACATGTTTGTGAAAACAAACGACATGGTATAATATTCAATAATGGTCTCAACGCAAAAAGCGACATTGGTAAATGAATACTAATGTTTTCCAATTAAAATCTAAAACAAAATGTTTTCGTTTAGTTTGTTGAAATAAGCAAAATGTATATTTAGCCTTCTTACTGTTGTATTAAAGAATTATGGAAGTCAGATTTTTTCAATAATTTAAATAGTATAAAAGAACCATAGTTTTTCATTAGTCGAAAATCTGAATGGATATTTACAAAAGAAATGCAATTTTATTATAAAAAAATGTTAATTTTTTCAGCATAATATCTCATGCATATATTTTCTTTTTGGCTATTTTGGTAAGATAAGTACTTGAAACGAAACTCATAACTTCTCTGTACATTCTACTTCTGCTACTGCTAAAAATTTCCTTCAGCTTACAGTATTCGTCTATTCTAGAACGATATAGAAGTCCGTCAACAGATGTCACTTGAAAAAAGTCATATAAACTCCGCATATTAGTGTTTGATTAATTGAAATTTTAGAGTAAAAGGATTGAAATATGATTTTTTTTTCATACAATTATTTTTAGATACTTATAAACCAATCAATATTTCATATATATAGATGCTTGTTTATTCACTCTTTTTTAAATAATTGTTTTCTGATTTGATTACTATCAGTCCTCTTTTTGTCTTTCTCTAATGTCATTATTATCGATCAACGCTTTTCTTTTCTCGTTCTCTTCCCGACAGTTTTTTGTTACAAGTTGCTCATTTAAACTAATTCTACACCTGAAAAAAGGCAAGACAACTTTTTTATTTAAATCTATTTAGAACTAGATCAACTCAATGACCACAACACCAGGGACCATTGGTCCACATAGCCGTAGAAAGGTTTCCTACTATTATGATTATGATGTTGGAAACTATTATTATGGGTAAAGAATTGAATTGAAATTGAAATTAAAAAATCTCTTTGTTTGAATTAGACAAGGGCATCCCATGAAGCCACATCGTATACGTATGGCACATAATTTGGTTCTTAACTATGGCCTTTACCGTAAAATGGAAGTTTATGTAAGTATAGAAAACTAGAAGTCATTTTTTTTTGTTTATTTAATAACAATATTGTTGTGTTTAGCGGCCACATAAAGCCGTCGCCGATGAAATGACACGTTTTCATAGTGATGAATATGTGAAATTTATACAAAATGTTGGACCAGATAATATTATGGAATTCAATAAACAAATGCAGCGATGTAATATTCATATTCTTTTTATTGACATAGTATAAGTTAGGGTGTGGGTTACAAAATAATTTTGTAAAAATATTTAACCAATAGGATGACATGCATTGTCTGAAAAAACACATTGAAAGACATCTACTGGAATAGAAAAGTTGTTTCTTCAACTGCAAAAAAATATTCGATCTTGTAGATTGCATACTATAAATTCTGAATTATTTTCTTATTTAATTAGAGTATGTAATTTTTTTTTAATTTTATTCTAGTTAATGTTGGAGAAGATTGTCCAGTATTTGAAGGTGTTTATGAATTTTGTCAAATATCAGCAGGTGGTTCATTAGCTGGTGCTGTTAAACTGAACCGAAAACTTACCGATATAGCTATTAATTGGGCTGGAGGTCTTCATCATGCCAAGAAATCTGAAGCATCTGGTTTTTGTTACATTAATGATATAGTTTTGGCTATATTAGAATTACTCAAGTAAATTAATAGAAGAAAAAAATTTCTTTGTTTTTATCTTAGTTTTCGTTTTAAAGATATCATCAACGTGTGCTCTATGTTGATATTGATGTTCATCATGGTGATGGAGTTGAAGAAGCATTTTATACAACAGATAGAGTAATGACTGTATCATTTCATAAATTTGGAGAATATTTTCCGGGCACTGGCGATCTTCGAGTAATCTATTCAAAAATAAAATGATAAAATACTAATAAATAGTTTTTTTCATTAAGGATATTGGTGCTGGCCGTGGTAAATATTATGCTGTTAATTTTCCACTTCGGGATGGTATTGATGATGATACTTATGAAACAATTTTTAAACCGGTGATGACAAAAGTTATTGAAACATATCAACCAAATGCAATTGTACTTCAATGTGGCGCTGATTCACTTACGGGGGATCGTCTTGGATGTTTTAACTTAACACTTAAAGGTTTGTTCAAACAAAAATAGTGTTATAAAAGAGATCTATTCTTTTATTTCATAATTTTAGGCCATGGAAAATGTGTAGAATTTATTAAAAGTTTAAATTTACCGTTGTTACTTCTCGGCGGTGGAGGTTATACAATTCGAAACGTTGCACGTGCTTGGACAAATGAAACTGCAATTGCACTTAGTCAGGAAATTTCGAATGGTATGTTTTTGTTTGTTTTATTCTCTTTCTTTTTTGTCAATTATTTACATATACATGTTTTATAGAATTACCTTATAATGATTATTTCGAGTATTATGGACCGGATTTTAAATTGAATATAAGTCCATCAAATATGCCAAATCAAAATAGTTCTGAATATTTAGATAAAATTAAGTAAATATTCATGCAAAAAACATTTCTCTGTGAAAATATAAATTCTATCTCTTTGAATAGAATTAAACTTTTTGACAATCTTCGAATGTTACCACATGTGCCTGGTGTTCAAATGCAAGGTAAGATTTATTTTAAAATGAAATTTTCGGCTGTTTCTCAGAGCATTGTTTTATTTTAGCTATTCCTGATGATATCATGGATGTCGATCGAGCTGCTGATGAAGATAAAGATAGTGATCCAAATAAAGTAAAATTAATATATTCAATATTGTAAAATTTCTTGTACAAATGTTCTCCTTTGTCAAAGATAGACTTAAAAAGAATTAAAAGATAACTATTCAGGACTCATAGATTCTGTGCGGATAATATCTCATGCTACTATATAACTGGGAAAATGGCAACCATAACTCTTGATATTTTTCAGTTTAATGCTCCTCTCATAGAGATGACGATTAAGTCTTCGTTTCGAACTCGTTTTTTTTTGAAAATGAAGAACATAAGTACACGAAATCAATTTGCAATACTATTTAGAAAATAAGAATCTAATTGATTAAATAATTTAGCGTATTTCACAAGTAAAACGAGATCGTCGTATTGTTGATGAACGTGAATTATCTGATTCGGAAGATGAAGATGGCGATGGCCGTCGTAATCAGTCGAATGGAAAACAAAGTTCTAATAAACGTAAAGCTACTTCAGAAACAATTTATGGTAACGATAAATATATATTTTATATTTTATTCTTTTGAATTGTTTGATTTTCTCAATAGCAGGCACAGCATTAAATGGTACTGACGTATGTGTACCATCTGCTCCAACTGCTGCTACTACAAGTGTTAGCCAAGATGTAAAGATCACTGAATCAACTACAACTGTATCATCTGATAATGATAAAGCAACTGAAAATATATCATTGAATGAAACAACAAAATCTGTTCAACCATCCGAAGAAGAAATCATTCCAACAGCAACAAGCGAAGAAGCAATACCTATAACAACAGCAACAGCAGTTACTGAAAATCAATCACCTATAGCAGCTCCAGATGAGAATGTACCAGCACAAGAAGCTCCTATTGAAGCCATGAATACATCAGAGTATGTTTTTTTAAAATTTTCATCGACCATTGAAGAACTAATTTTATTTTTACTTAGAACCTCGTAAAAATGACTGTTTTTCAAGAATAATAAACAATAAATCTCAATCAATGGATATGTTTGGATGGAAAGAATTTCCAAGTCACATTTACTTCTTGTATCTGCATATATTTCGGTTTCTGCTATTTCTTTTTCGCTTGTTACAATGTTCTTTTATGTGTAAAAAAAAAAGAAAAACTAAGAAATCTCTTATTCATATGCTTTATGTTTGTGCGTACAGCTGTTTTTCATTGTAATGTAAAACAAGTCTAACTTTGTCTTCTTTTCTTCTTGTTCTTCTTCTTCCTCTATGTGTGCCAAAGCAAAACAAAAATATTTGTGTGTTTTATGTGTTTATGTAATAAGGAACAAACCAAGATACATCGTTCAATATTAATTAATTATTATTGTTCGAATAATCTTCAGCTTATTGTATTCGATTTTGATATATTATAGAACATAACATCTATGTATTTATGTTGTCATTCTTGTTTTCATTGGAGATACCCAGGTCAAACAATCAGACAGTAAGATCCTCTACGATCGTACCTCTGATCTTATATGATATTGTAAGATCAGATGAAATCATAAAGTCAGATCATCGTATCAATTTGTACTGTAAGATCCTATAGTATCGATTTTTGTAAGATCTTACAGAAATCTTACACTACGAATTGATACGATGATCTGTCTTTATGATTTTTCGTATGATTTCATCTGATCTTACAATATCATATAAGATCAGAGGTACGATCGTAGAGGATCTTACTGTCTGATTGTTTGGCCCGGGGAATTGTTTGTAATTGTATTAAAATCTTGAATTCATTAAGTATGCTACAAAATTGAAATCATTCAAACCTTAAATTCTGTAGTTAGTTAAGATATATCAAATGATTCCTCTAGTTAATATCGAAAAGAGATTTTACTGTTTCAAATTTAGAATTGTAAACACTAGAATGAAGATTAGATGCGTTCCGAGAATATCCCCAGAAACTCGATTAAGTGCTAGGGAGCCAAACTAGATATAACAGATATAGAGATATACAGCGTATAGGGGGGTCTAGGGGGTACAGGAGATATAGGAGATTGATAAACAACGTGCAAGGCTCAAAAAAGAAATATTGATATCAGTAATATCTGTGAAAGAAAATTTTATTTTTGTTGAGTTCTAATTAAATAAAATTAAGAGATGAAAGAGAAAAAAAAATCTCCTACATCTTCTATAACTCCTGTACCGCCTAGACCCCCCTATAACTCCTATATCTCTATATCTGTTATATCTGCTAGGTTTGGTTCCCTAGCACTTAATCGAGTTTCCGGGGATATTCTCCGAACGCATCATATGAGAATGAAATTAGTTGAAAAATATAAATATGTAAATATATGTAACACCAATAGTTCAAAGCTATCGTGATGACATGTGAAAACGGGATAAGAGATTTCAATGGGATGTGAGCTCATGCTCATCAATTAGCTGGTTATCCTAGACAACAGTTATTCACATACCGTAAAAAGTATTGAATTTGTGACAATGATTGATAAAACTCTTCGTTATGTAATAATTATAGGAATCAACAACAACTATTGTGAGAATGATGATGATTTTATTTTTAAAGCATATCGTATTAACTAACTTCTTAAGTTTTAGTGACATATTTAAATATCAAAGAAATATTCGAGAATAAAATCAAGGCTGCAATAATTCAAACTTGCTGCTTTTGTTTGCTCTACATACACTATGACATATTGTGCTTATACCGAAGTTCATCACTTAAGCAGTTCTGATATTTCGCATTGGTTATCGTTTTGTTTGCCGAAGCAGTTGTTCTTCGTGAAATACGATTTGCTTTTCAATTTGTTATACTACTATTTTCATTTTCTGTCAAGGTGACATGTACATTAGAAACAATAAAACCCTTGTAGAAGTTTCGAAAAACAAAAGAACAGTTAAGGGTTGATACTCTGTAAGATGGATACGATAATAATTTTCATATTGATCTATAAAAAAAACAAAAAAAAAATACTGTTGTGTAATGTTATTTCACTATTCTAGGTTTTTTCTTATTCGGCTAATTAATTTTACCTATAGGAATGTCAAGAAACGGTACTTTGTTCTTTAAATGAGTAGATTTTGCCAGACATTATACTTCGGTAACACATTAACATAGTTTCAAAATAGAAAATTGAACAAAATTAACTTTCGTAAATAAAATCGAAAGGTTATGATATGTATGCAGTGATTAAATCTTATAAAGTTTCTATGTCGTTCATGAAAGGCAGTGTTTTTCTATTATCTGTTTCAAAACAGTGTTCATGTGTGATAAATGATAGCTTTGGTGAGTACCCTACTAGTTTACACGACAAAAGGCCATTTTACAAACTACGTCAGTCATTATACTCCTACGTTTTCCATTGACCTTTTAATATTTTTTACAATAAATATGATTGCATTCAAAATATTTCATTTTTTGCGATAAGACACAATTCCTTGTTTATCTGCATAAGTAGAGTTGATTGATTTTTAAATGACAATATTATCTATCACAAATCGGAATATCCATATCGAAAATTGTTTTACGTATTTAGAAAATCGGTGATACGGCGACATAAGCGCGCCGATAAAAAAAAAAGATGCTTCATATTCGGTGCAAACGACGCATTTGCCGCTTGATTTTTGGCGAAGATAGAACCTTCATACTTGTTCTTATCTTATCGTATACTTTTGCCATATGTAATTTCTTGATTTTGCGACGATAGAGAGCTCTTCTTTGAAAAGGCCAAATTTTCTGTTTTTGTTCAGCCAGTGTGGTATTTTTCATTAAAAAAAATGAAAGTTCACAATGACACCCGTCCCTTTCCAAACTTTCTCATAATTGCGCATGCATCGTTTTGAAGCACTTAATAAAACAAGCGAAACCTAAATGATTCTAACGGATATAATGTACGAAACAGTGTTTTTAATGAAAGAGTGTACCTTTCAAAACAAAATGTACGGTACCCGCCGAATGAAACAGAATATACACACTGTTTCACATGCTGAAGAAAAAGGTAGCACGTACGCTATACGCACTGAATTTCATTTTTACACTTTGTTGTGCAAGACTATTGTACCTCTACGCTTAAAAGTTTATCTATTGAAGGTGTTCACGATTATAAATGCCTTGGATATTTTCTTAGCAGATGTTTCACCAGGAGTGTAGACGCACATTTTAGTTGAGATTTTTTTCTATTAAAACCCTACTTTTGCGACTTGCTCTAAAAGCTACAGAACTGCATGGGAGTGAGAACGCATGACGACATCTCGGAAAGACGTCTCTAGTCAGAAAATCTCAGCTTTGATGCGTTTCTGCATTCCAAGTTGCACATCGACTAAAATAATATCATAGAAATCGAATAAAACTCATGTCGACAGGAAATCTTAACTGCATGTAAAAGAACTTGAGAAATCCTGCGGGGTTACTCATCAAAAAATACTTCTATCTGATAAAAATATTAATTTTCAAACCATAAGGAACCTTTTCCAATACTATTCAATCTCTTCGTTTCTTCTTTTTTTAAATACATTTGATCGCGTTCTTCAAATAATTTACTTATTTATTTATCTTATTGAGAAAAAAGGACAAATATACTTATCAATAAAATATGATCAAATCATTTTTGAATTTCCTTTTTCTCTATTATTATTATTATGAAATAGTCAAACAAACGATTTCATCTACGTATTCAATTATTAATTGATAAACAAATGTAAAAAAAGAGCAACAGCAACAATTATCTGACAGAGATTATCGAAACATAATGTACAAAAAGCAAATTATCTGACAACGGAATGATTAAGAATTATCTGAATTCTATAAAAAAAAGAAAGGAAAAGATTAATTAAACAATATGAATAATAGAAAAAAGAAAAAAGAAAGAAAAAATTTGTTGAGTTGAACAACTGAAGATTTTCCATAATAAAAATTAAATTCTTCTAAATCAACAAAAACATTACGACCATCATCATAACGAATTGGACAATCATCATCTATGCGAAAAATTTCATTAGGTGTTTCTATTAAAATAGAATAAATAGATAACTTACGAATACGCTCAGCTTCAGTAAGTGTAATAGCAAGATCAGCTCCATCTTCTGCTTTATAACTTTCAGATGTTTGATTAAAACCACAAGCTGAACCAGCTGATCTTGACAATGTTATACTTGTTAAATCTCTTCTTTCGTAGACCCAACATTTAAAATTATTATACGGATCATCTCGATCATATGTAACCATCATTGAACGAGAATCTTCTGTCCAATAACCAGCACATTGATAAATATAATCAGGTTGTTCGTAAACACCAATGGGTGTTCCATATGGATCTAATTGTCGACAATATTCACGATCAGCAAACATTGATTTTGTTTGATCACCACAAATAGTCCATTGTGATACAACATATTGTGGATCACATGTTATATACCAACCATGATCACGTGGTCGTGGTCTTACACCACCACGGATTCGTGTTTGAATTAATGAACTTGATTGTCCAACTTGTTTAAATGTCCACATACCCGTAAATGGACATTCAATAGGTGCCGGTGGATCCAAAGCTAAAACTTGATATTTCCAATTAGCATCATTACCAAAACTTGTCCATGAACAAACTTCATAGAAAGGATCACGATTCGGAAATAATTTATATAAATTTGACATAAATGATTTTGATTTTCTATATCTTAATATATTATGATGACGATCTTTAAAATCGAAACAAATATAATACGAGAAACATTCTCCTTTAGTAGCAGCTTTAACTAGATATTGACTACGAGATGTTTGTTGACAAACATAATAAGTTTCTCTTAGCCAACCTCGATTATTAACTTTGGCTATTTCATGAATATGTGTTGTATTAATTAAAGCACGAGCATGGACATTTGCTGTATTTATCCATTGGCCAGTTAAGTTGCTCGGAAAAAAACATGAAGCTATTGGCTAAAATTAAAGCAACACAAAAATATCGATCAATTATTATGTAAAATTTATGAAGAAACGAAAATAATCTTTCATATTGACTTCCAACAAAAGTTAACTTAAATTTACTACAAAGGAATGATGTCTTTTCGGATTATTTTCATAGAATTACTAACTTCTTCTGGAATAATTGGTGTAATAATGACTTTTTCTGGTCCATCAGTTGGACTTGATAACGAAGAACATTCAGCAAATAGAAATTTAGCAAACTTCATCTGACTAAATTTTTGCTAAACATTTCAATTTCCATGCATCTGTTTTTCTTAATATTTCGAGTAAAACTTACAAAAAAGTGTAATAAATTTACTTTGTTCATTTAAAAAACAAGAAAATAGTATACTTGTCGCGATAAATAAGTTCATAGTAGTTCTGTTTAAGAGTTAATTGATAACAATGTTCAAGATCTTGAGTAACCAAAAGATCTCAACCATCATTTCGTGTTACACCAGCACCTGATTCTTGACGATAGCAACGTCTATCAATAACTCCATTTTCTTTCAATGATGTATCAGTTGCAAAGTCATTTTCATATGAATAGAATTCACCTAATAGCGGTCGATCAAATGTACATCCACCTATTTCAACTATTAAAGCAATTTTGTTTTTACATTAAATCTCATTATTATTCATCCTGTACACTAGTTATCGGTATAAAAACAATTCAACAACATGATGATTGTTCTCTAAAAAGCAAAATAGAAATGACAATAAATGAGTTCAATCAATGATTCAGCCATCTTTTTTTTCGAATTTTCTCGATAAATGAAACTCTACAGGTAAATGTCATTCAACGATAGATGACATTCATTTTAAGAATACAATTTTGTTCTCTTGGTTTCTTCGCGACACCACTTTGACACATTGTAAGTGTCTCGGCTCTGCTCTTTCCAATAGAATAGTGAAATAATCACAAATGAGAAACATCTATAAGATGCTTTACTTTAAATAAAGACGTTGGTTCATTTTATTTTTATGTAGACCTTTCAAAAGATTTCACAAAAGGTATTAAACTCATAAGATACTTTTACTCCATTTTATTTTTCTCATTTCCACAAACAATTGCAGTATAGTGCACTAGTGTTTGATAAATTCCTCATTTTGATGCCTTTCGATTACAAGTATACAGTGAATTTTTGTGGCATTGAATATTAATATGATGATTGGACAAAGGAACGTATTAAATTAAGCGATCAAGTTAATTCCTACGTGGGATAGGCTCTCAGCTATGTGAAGCATTTAAACTCCGATTATCATGATCGAACGCATATAGATAACATAATGAGCGCGTGGACTGATGCAGTTCTCATCTACTGCTCTATTAATCGACACTCACCATAATATTCCAATGAATTTTCTGAAATCAAAAGAAAAAAATTTATCATAGAAACTTGTTTTTGTGTACTCAAAAAGTGAGTACACTCTAGAATCGGTCAGTGTGTCCGTGCGTCCGTAGGCACGATAACTTTCGAAAGAAGAGCCAGATCGTGATGAAATTTTTCACACAGTTCAATCTCATGAATATCTCGGTCGAGTTCGAAGATGAGAAGAATCCCTCAAGAAATGGTTGAGTTATCGAAAAAATTGTCATTTTTGACCAGACCATCCCTGAGGAGGAGTACAGGGATTTTGTTTTCAAAAAACAAATTTTTCTCAGAATTATTCACAACATATATGAATCGGCTCAGTTTCTAACGCTCATTCCGAATCTGGTATTAGTTTTGAACTAAATCGTAGCTTTCTAACGAAACGTCGCCTGA